AGTACAAGCGAAGCTATAGCGTCTATAGCATATTAATATTATATTAATATTATATATTCCAGTCTCCTGTTAGGATTGCCCTTTTATCAGTTTTAGTAAAAATATAGAAATATGAGAGTCATATTAAATGAAACTACTTTACGGATTTTAACGTATCATTTAATATGTATAATATTCGCGTAAAATCAAGAAAACAATATATGAGAGTCACCTTAGGAAGTAGAAGATGAATAGTTAAACAGCAGTAACTTACCTTTGCAGGCTTATAATTATTCTTATAAAATAATAAGGTTTTGTGCATGTTATCTGCATGTATAAAAATATAAAGTGAAGTAACAGCATGTATATGTCCCACTGCTGGGCAAAGCCCTCCGCTGTCCACGGGTTATTAGGGCATAGCCCATCGCGTGACCCCACTGCAGATTGGTAGACTACACATCTTCCAAAAAAAAATTATTATTTGGTAATATTATGTTTTACTTCAACACTGCACGTCAATTGTTAATATTAACAATTTCTGATTCCGTCATCAAAATGTGAACTCTGGTTGGTCTTGTATATGAAATTAAAAGCGAGAAATATCACCGATGTTTGTTTAAATTTGCACATCGTAAAATATCTTTGGTCAGTTAGCATGATAGCTAATCCAGTGGCCGACCAGTTAGCTACTCGCGCATTACGTAATTGGCCACGATTAACCAGCAAGTTAACCACTTCACTTGGACGGTTTAACATGAGCTGGCACTTAAATGGATGCTTTGTAATGTTCTGGGGCTAATTTTATCTGGCATAGTGTGTTAAGACCTGTTACCACAGCCAGTAGCTAAGCAGACATTAAAATATAAAAATTAAACTATTTTCGGACACATTTTTACACAACGTTCTCTAGTCCCAAACTAAGCAACGCTTGTACTATGGGTACTAGAAAACTGATAAACATACTTAAGCATATTCTGTTGTTGAAGAAAGGTTCTCGAGTGGCAGCCTCGTACTGGCCATCGCAGTGAAGGACGACCCCCCACTAGATGGAGTGACGACCTGTGCAAATGCGCGGGAAGTCGATGGATGCAGGTGGCTCAGGATCGTACTTCGTGGCAGTCTATGGGGGAGGCATATGTTCAGCAGTGAACTCAAACAGGCCGAAATGATGATGATGATGATTCTGTAACTTAGATTTCAACCTGTGTTCAGCCGGACAAGGTAGCAAAGCAACAAGCATAATAGTTTATTCCTTTTGTCTTACTAAGAAATCTCTTATAAAATACCATTTCAAGTGTGCCATCTTAATTGTGTGAATTCCTCTCTATTTTAAAACACGTCGTGTGGTTACCGTATTTTCCAGTTTAGGCCCGTAGGTGCCCGTAATAGCGTCGTTTAAAAAATGTTCGCGAGTCTGTCTACCCGTTTTAAAGTAATTGCGCGGTGCTATGGCTACTTATCGAATAGTACAGTAGAACGCCCCGACATATGTTTTTAGTATTTATTTATTTTGAAAAACATTGCTCGTACTTAAGATGTTTGCTCTTACGTTATATGTTTAACGGTTTAAGGGGGGAAATGACAACAAAGGTGATACTAACAAATGACTGTAACCGAGTCCCACTTTATTAAAATGTACCAACGCATCTGTAACCCTACGGGTGTTTCAAACGTCCATGGGCGGCGGCTATCACTTTCACGTGTACCATCAGCTCGCTTGCCATCCTCTTACATAGAAAAAGCGTTGAACGGAAAACCGACCCGCAATCCCCATTAAAGCGAAGATGCAATTAGACTCTTCTAAAACAATTAGAAAGCGCCGAAAGTCCGCTTTCCCCGAAATTGGATTAAGCCACGCCTCGATTCGCAATGGCCGATCTCTTATTAACGCGTGCAGTAATTCCCTAAGCCCTGGTTCCGCTTAAACTGCCCTAGTGGAATCTTATTTAACGTTTTACGATAGCTTATAAAACAGATGATGTCTCAGTGGCCCAGTTGCCAAGGTGCTGGCTGGCGTAGGGTCGTGGGTTCGATTCCCACACGAGACAACTGACTTTGTGACCCACCGATAATTGTTTCGGCTCTGGGTGTTTATCCACGTGAAATTTATGTATGTAAAACGTCTAAAACGTGTTGGAAACACAGCATAATGTTATCCTACAGTAAGGGGGCAATGTTGGACGACTGCGATAGTCTTTTAAGTCCACACAAAATACAAATCAAGAACTTATTAAAGAACTTAATAAAGAATTGCCAAAGTTTAAACATAAGCCTAATTTTAAGTGCTGACTTTTTACTTGTGAAAACAGTATTACAGTACAACATTTTCCTAATAGTAACAAAATATATATATATATATATATATATTTCGTTAATATGTGAAGTCTAGCAATCTGCAGTATCGTTACATGGTGGACCCTGACACCCTCTCTACAAAGAAGCCCAAGAGTGGGACATGTTTAAGCTATTTTTCTTTTACTCCCTTATATTGTACAATATATTTGCGTATATGAGATATATAATAAATTGTGTACTTTCTACAAATTTGACGTACTATTGATTTTTTTTGTTAATCAGTATCTCTATTCCAACCCTAAATAATACGAAGCTCACCCTCCGAATTTATTGTTTCTCTTTGCACCAACTTTCGCTTGTTGCACCATCGATGACATATTATAATTAAACCCAAGCGCTATAACACTTTAACGGTATTAAAATTGCTAAGTGTAAACATTGCCGTTTTTCTGTACTGTACTCTCGTAAATTAACAAGGCGTCAAATTGAATTAATTTGAACGCAATCGAGTTCGAGAAAAAGCGTTGGAAATTGTTTCGCTTCCACCATTGTGCACGTTTCCCGCGCGAATCGGCAGCCATTTTGTGCGTACAAACCGTCAATTAAAAACTTCACTTAAGTATGCCTGGACAAAAGATTCATTATTGTTAGCGTGAAAATAATAATTACGAAAGAATGACAAAACATGTTTATCCGGATTAGACATTCCTAGATACGTCGTATTATTTATAATATATTAAAATAGATTTCGTTTGTTACTGGATCAAAAAAGTACGAAATAACTAAATGACACTCTACTTCGTTTAACAGTAGTTTTTGTACAAATGCTTAAACTACTGTATTATGATTCCTTTGCCTTCACCGCGCAAGAATATATCATACAAATAATGTTAAATGCGTTGCGATACAAACATAACCAGATTAATCCATAAAAATTCGAAAAAAAGCCTCCATTAATTTTATAACTACTACATAATATAATTGCGCAACCAGCGTTGAATTAAAATGCTTTTTAAAGGTGCTCCATACACACTCGTGCACAGATAAAATTACCCTAAGATGGAAGTAAATTCAAACCGTACGCGTAAGGTGCTATTTTTTATCGAAAAGAATAACGAATCCCGCTATTTGATTGATTGATGGACGCCCCGCTAACGTGTGAAGTATAATTTTGTTGGGGCGCGGTATCGGTGATAAGCGTCGGCGGGAAGCTCGAATATGTTTCTCAGGGATTTTAATATTTGAAGAAATAACGACGGCACCGTTTTCCGCCGCAGCGGGAATAGAATTTGAAGACAATCACATTATAATCGAAGGGGAAACTGACGTGGGGGGGATGGAATGTGAATCTAAATTTTTGCAATTAATCCTCAACACACCCTTCTAGAAAACTTAGTAATACACAACATTTACCAATGAAAAAGTAACTATGATTTAGTTCTATGTATATCTAAAATTATCTGTAGCAGCTTGACTCTCGACAATATATATATATATATATATATCGGTTACCGATATACTATAGAGATTACAATAACATGTAACAAGTATTAATTTAAATAAATCAGAAAATTTATATTATAACACCTAAGAATAAGATTGTAAACAGTAACAGGAATAAAGGCTTATTTTATTTTTATATATCTAAAATTATATATACATATAGGGTAATTGTAAATTCGGAACTGTACAAAGTAATAGTTTACCGAATGTAACTCCTGTCTTAATAAAGATCTAACACAGACAAGCCCCATCTAAAGATGTTTTATGTCAACAAGTTTTAACTCCTACTATAGATATATTTTCTCTTAAACTATTTGCTTCCCGCTATAACTTAGGCCCTACGTTATAAGCAACTCCATATTAAAACACATGGTAGTAAAACCGATGGACTGATTCTTTAATAAAATATGAGTCTTATTGGACCGGAATAAGGCCTAAATTAGCTTTGACAAATGGAAGAAAAAATGCATTTATTGCCACCTAGCGCCATTAATATTAATAAAATTAAATGTAATTAAAGTTATATTTAAATAAACTAACACAGAAATCGTAAAGCATTTTCTTTCGTCGTTATGTTTGTCTCATCTGTATGTCTGCAATTTACTTTCTTGGGAAAAAACGTTGACAAGCCAAGATAGACGACGTCCCGTGGTGGAATCGAATTTGTAATGTTAACTTTTTCGTAATTTAAAATTAAAGACAAAAATTCAAATAGACTGTCTATCTTTGATACACCGCTACGCCAAAACATTTAGTTGTTCTTTTTTTTTTTAAAATGAAATGTACAACTTATAAACAAGCAATATAAAATCATGCTACAATATTAGACAGCAGCTAATTACAAAACTAAAAATATATTTTTTCTTAGAAAAATAGCGTATGACGAATATAATGATTTTTCACGTTCAAATCATCGTTTACTTTCTGAATTCAAATTTTGTGAAGTAAACCGGTTTTGATGTTTTTTATTTTCATTCGAAAGCTGGTGCTTCCCATTTGGTCCCATATTAATTTCATGGGTATTGGATCTTGGTCTCCGGTGATGCTTAGGGAACTCCTGAAAATCAATTATAAAATGAATACAGGGCGAGGTATTTGATGTCGGCTTTGTTTTTTGTAAAATGTATGGACTTTTATTATACATGCGCACACTTTGCCCATGAACGGCCTATTTACTGTTGTAGACGAAATGAATATAATTCACCAATGTTTCCGTTTCGCAGCAAGGAGTGCGTGATGCCGATGATCCCGCTGGGGCTTAAGGAGACCAAGGAGGTCGACTTCCGGGAGCCATTCAAGGACTTCATCCTGGAGCACTACAGCGAGGACGCTGCTGCTTACGAGGACGCCATCTCCGATTTCATGGACATGAGACAGGTATACGGAATAGACCCTACTAATATCATGGATTACCCGAATGGCGTAGTGGATAGTGTGCCTGCCTCCTGGGTGTGGGCTCGATTCCCAAACGGAACAAGTATTTGTGTGACGCACATATAGTTCCGGATCTGGCGGTTTATTCCCGAGCAAGATTGATATAAGAGACGATTGATTTTAAAGTACGCTAAAAGCATGATTATTAAATTAAAATGCATGCAAGCGGAGCTGCGTGTAACAGCTGGTACTAAATAATACGAGAATCACACCAATAAACGAAAGTGTAGTTATGTCATACATTACGCCTGCATGTGGTCAGATTCCCCGCTGTTTAGTAGATTTTATGTACAAAAAGATGAATCGTAATCATAACTGTCCTCGCTATAAAATATGCATGCTTCGTTTCTCAAACTTTTAAAAGAGATATTATTAATTGAAGAAATCTGTCAATTATCTGTGCATTGGGGTTATAGAAAAGATATTGCAACTCTACAACAAATTTAGAGAAGACAAATGTCGTATTATTTTTCACGAAATAAAAATTTTCAACAACCTTATTTGAATTTGGATTATTTAATAAAGTTGAAAAAAACCGTAATTCTTTTTCTACAAACCCATAAATATATGTTTTTGTCGGCTATTTCTGGAATTTTTCATATTTTTTTTTTCTAGCGCCTATAGTGCTTATGTACCGAGAGGCCGGGCTTTGCTTGGTTCGGGAATGGATAGTGTTTTGTAAAAATATGATGACTCCGTGCCAAGGTATGTCTGTGACAGACAATTGTGTCAGAACTGAGTGTTTGTCCGCGTGAAATGTATGGAAAATGTTATCTCATTGCATGGACATTTCTTTCTTTTAAAAACCTAGTAAAAGCTCATTACTTAGAACTTTCAACTCATCAGCAATCCTTTTTCTTTTCTTCTTCTTTTCCTGTGTTGTAAGGTTTTACAAACATAAATTTCACGCGGGTTGTTTCGCATCTGGGTCAAACACCAACTATCTGTGGGTCACACAAATAGTTGTCCCGTGTGAGGATCGAACCCACGACCTTTGCGACTGCGCCACGGAGTCAACTAATGAGATAAGGATGATGTCTTTTAAGAAACAAAAACAGTTCCTATCGATGGTGGCGTTCCTTGCAGGCTATGCGCACGCCAGTACGCTCCACTGTCGGCGTCGCGTTGCTCTTCAAATACTACAACCAGCTCTACTTCATCGAGCGCCGCTTCTTCCCCCCGGACAGGTCGCTAGGGGTCTACTTCGAGTGGTTTGACTCCCTGACAGGTGCGTTGGCCGATAGGAATGTGCACTTTGTTAATCCGCAGAGACTTAATTTAACTGTGGTAGGGCCACGCAATGATGTTCGCTGTTGCACGAATGGGCAGGTCCGTCCGGGTAAGTACCACGACCTCACAGAGGACCGGCGTGAAGTGGACATGTCATACTTCTGCGTTATGTCTGGTGAGTGAGGTAGCCGGGGCCCACTTTATTATGACGGGAACGCATGTGCAAACAGTGTTGCAAATGTCCGTGGGTGGCGATTATGACTTAACATCAAGTGAACCGTCAGCTCGCTTGCCACCTTATCGCATGAAAGCAAGAATTAAATGCTTTTCTACATCGAGTGTAGTTACATTAACGGGTATCCGAGATTGAACATCGCAGAGTTTAACAGTAGTTGAATGGTAAATCAACGAGCCGTGATAGCTCAGTGTCCTGGCACTCGCTTTTAATTAAACGCACTCGAGCAACCTGAGCTCGATCCCCGGTGTCGGCACCAATGAAATTGTTAATCTCAAGTACTGACGTAGTACGTGCTCGGCGGTGAAAGAAAATATCTAGAGGAAACCTGCACATTTTCGAAATACAAACGAAGAATTTATAGGATGCTACTTTACTATCATTTACAATAATATTATTTGTCCTTGCTTGTCTGTGTTTTCAGGTGTTCCGTCGTGTCAGCGGACAGTGGCTTTCGAGAAAGCGTGCGTCCTTTTCAACATGGCGGGAATATACACACAGATCGGGGCCAAACAGGTGAATACACTTCCCTGGTATAAAAATACACTGCTTATTTAATTACATAAGCTGCCATTTTCACCTTTCACATTAAGTCCTATTGTAGCCTTATCTTATGACTCAGAGGAAGTATTGAAGCAAACATTAAATAAAAAAAACAGGTTGTCTATGGAAGTTCGTCTGTTTATGTCTTTGCTCGTATGTTTTCATAATATCATAATAAGTTCGATAGCGCAAACGCAATGGTCGTGACTTATGTGATATATTCAATAATAAGTTAGCCTATGTTTTATAATATTTAATTAATACAGTAAAGTAACATTAATGTAAAAAATATTACAACTAATTCTATCAACCATATATCCCCCCGCACGACCCCTGGCACCGAAGCCATGGCATTGCAAGTAAGAAGCTGTTGCATTGTCTTTTCCACAGGAGCGGAAAACCTGTGCCGGACTGGACGGCGCAGTGGACGCCCTGCTACGAGCAGCTGGGACCCTACGCTACATCCACGAGAACTTCACCAACGCACCCTCTGTAGACCTGGCGGCAGACACGCTTCTTGTGCTGGGGACCCTGATGACGGTGAGTCATCTCCCATGACGCCACGATGACGTCAATGATGGCGTTGTTTCACAGAGTCGTCTATATTTAGATCTTGAGAAGTTTATTATATAACGCGGCATGGTGTTAAATCCAGACTGCCTACTCCCGACAGGTTCGAATTCTGAATCAATCGAATTTGACCCGAATTCGTGGCAGTTCGTACCACTGAATCTGACGCCAGCGCACAATCGAGTGGTGGCTCTAACTGGAACTAACTAAGATCGGATAATTTTTCGAAAAAAATTAAGCAATTAACATTTTATATATTAAGAAAGATGTTATAACCGTTAACATGGAACATTTGTCTGCGACGTAATAGGCCAGATACAGTTAACGGATTTGATAACGCACGGTTTTGTTTCTAATTTCGATTCGGTTCGGGAGTAAGATTTTCAAATCGAGTTCGAATCGAAAACAAAAACAAATTAGAATCGAATTTGAGGAGTAACACGCCTGGTCCTTAAATTGACTCGGTCTAACGACTTCAGACCGCTTCAGCGGAGTCAGGTGGGAGAAGTGAATGAAGAAGACAACAAACCATAAAAGCAAAGTATCAGTCTATAAATGTCCCACTGCTGAGCACAGGCCTCCTCTATACAGACAGGGGTTCGACCACGCAACACCGGTGCGGACTTCACATATCTTGGAAATATTTTTGTTTTATTAGTATAGTGTTATAGACTGATCTAAGTTTAAAAATCAACCAATTTTAGTTTTTCTATAAATGGATTGCAACACTAATTCAGTAAGTAAATAGCTAACGGCCGGTTTCAATATTATATACACAGATAGATTTAGTTACTGAGATAGGTATTTGACAATAGCTCCTTAATACTTACGCCAAAAATCTATCTCTATTAACCAAATGTGTCTGTAGATTGAAAATTGAAACCGGCCGTAAATAAACTGACCCTTCAACTGTTAAATTCTACTTGAAATTTATAAAATCCTGAATTCCCAATCGAAGATCAAAGATTTGGTCAAGTCTCAGCCTCGGGCTATACCTTTCGCCGTGTACGCGAGACATTGTCACCAAATGAATTCATGGAGTGGTTCCCTCACCTGGTCAAGGGAACTACTACGTCCGAGTTCATGGACTGACCTATAATTTGCCTGACCTATATTTTCATAACTGTGATCCACGCAATAGTTCACTGTTGCACGAATGGTCAGGTAAGCTCGGGGAAGTACCACGACCTCACAGAAGACAGGCGTGAAGTGAAAGTGTTATACTTCTGCGTTTCGTCTGGTGAGTGAGGTAGCCGGAGCCCACTTTATTTAAAGGTGACAACGCATCTGCAACGCTACGGGTGTTGCATATGTTAGCGGTTGGTGGTTATCGCTTAACATCAGGTGAACCGCCAGGTCGTTTGCCACCTTATCACATAAAAAATTGCAGGCACAGGCGCGAGAGTGCCTCTTCGAGAAACTGCAGCTGCAAGCGCGAGAGGCGTGCTCCGCCCGGGGCCAGCCGCTGCACGCTGACCTGGACATGTGCCTAGACCTGGCGCAGGAGAGCGCCCAGCTAGCCCACGTCTACCGCCAGCTCTACGATAAGGTAGGCCCTAGTGTCTTGGCTGAACGATTACAGGAAGGATACAGCTCTACGGCAGCCCGTGTCTTAGCTGGACAGAACAGCAAGAAAAAAACCGCCAGGTAGGCCCTAGTGTTGGCTGGAAACGATAACTGTGATAGGGCCACGCCACAATCTTCTCTGTCGGACGAATGGGCAGGCCCATCCGGGTGAGTACCACGACCTCACAAAAGACGGGCGTGAAGTGAAAGTGTTACGTATTGTGTTATATATCAGAGGCCCCATTTAGTTAAAAGATGGCAACACATTTGCATCTGGCGGTTACCACTTAACATAAGGTGAACCGCCAGCTCGTTTGCCACCTTGTCATTTTCTTACATAAAAATAATAATATTCTTGTGACATCTTTCTGTTAACTGTCGGCAGTTTTGGGGTTAATCACATCTTGAAACAAGCCTGGATGGAATAAAAAATTAGGAGGTGATTCTGTTCAATCATTCTGGTCTCCAGTTATCATAATTATTGTTAAAGATTACATTATCTAAATTGATATATACATCTTGTATTGTGTTGTTTTTTAAACTAACTAATTTAATTACAGATGCAGACCGAGGGTGTATTCAACTACGTGCCATACTCGTGGGTTTCTCTTGTCCATGTCAAGACTGAGTTCTACAAAGGTGATTAGAAATCCTTATTGAAATAAATTTGGATGTGTTAATTTTGATTCTGGTTCAATTCCCATCAATTTCGCTTGACTGACTTGTGCGAAAACCTTAAGACTGTCCAGGTTTTTGTAAGTATCTTCATCTATTTACTTATATAAATTATATATGGTCAAAGTCGAACTGTTAAAAAGTTAACCGCAACTATGGATCCTTAAAAACCCTTTTAGGAATAATTCCGGCTATAAAGAGTCCTGGATACCTGAACAGACGAAACGCAACGTGCAACACTGCACGCCGGTCTTCTACCATGCTTTGATACTTCCCGGGGTTTGCCCATTCGTGCAACAGAAGCTGATTGCAATGAAATCTATACTATGTCGTGCGTCCCCAGCGCTAGCTCACCAGTACTGCGGCGTGGCGCTCCTCCATTCGGCGGGGGGGCAGCGCGCGCGGGACCGCATCGCCGCACTACACGCGCCCGATCGCGCCGACTGTGAGTATAGTGCGTTCATTGACTGTACCAATGGCATATCGTTACGGACTTGAGAGAATTTTTACTGACTACTTACTACTGACTACTGACTATTCACTACTTTTTTATATTATTATATACTTTATTGTACACCACAAAGAATTTGATATAATTAGTATAAAATAAGTCTTAAAAGCTAGGTACAATAAGGCGGTCTTATCGCTAAAAAGCGATCTCTTCCAGACAACCTTAGGACGAGGAAATAATAAACTAATGTTTAGTGGGAGGTGGTGTGCTCAATAAACTTGCTTAATACCTAAACAGACTGAAATAATAAAATAAACATACATAAATAGATTTTAAATATATATAGATTATTTAGTCACTTTTCTATAGCTTTTCATTAGTTTTTTCTGTTGTTTTTAAATTTATGAGATAACATTGTTTGATGATATCGAAGCATGTAGTGTACATATATTTTTGGCGGACAGTATGTATAAGTTGCCAATATTAAGTTTTTTGTTTGCTGCTCTGTGTACCAAATAAAATAAAAAATAAAAAAAGGTGTGGTCGTTTATCGTAACAGGTAAATATGACATCTAGAAGTGATCGGCGATGAAATTAAAATCACCAATTCCAAACTAAAATAATTGCGTCTTCAAACTAAAAGCCGGAATTAACATTCTCCCTCGATGAGAGTGCGCCGATGTTAACTTCATAGTAAACGAGTTCCTCTAAGACTACGCCCTTTCACATTCATAAAATCAAGATCAAAATTATGACCATTTATTCATCGACACAAGAAACTTACATTTCATCTATCGATAGTATTTTTTTTTTAAATCTACCACCGTTTCGTAATGAGGTTCCTCTAGCGGAGAAGAAACAGGCGAAAGAGTAGGTACCTACCCTTTTTTGTCATTTTTTTTTATTAAAAATATTAAATTATTATACAACAGATTTTTTTTCTTTTGGAGTGTAGTAACCGGCGTTCATACTGGAGGAGTTCTGGATATTGTGTGTATTTAGCAGGGGGATGACTACGACCTTTCATCTTGACACTGGGAAATTCTGAAATCTCCGATCAAATAGCAGGGGTGATGAACACAACCGTTCATCTTCAGGAAATTCTGAAATCTCTGATCATTTAACAGGATGCATGAGTACCAGCTTTAATATTCAAACTAGGAAATACTAAAATCTATGATCATGTAGCAGTTGGAATGACTACGCCCTTTCATCTTAAACTAAGAATTTCTGAGATCTCTGATCGTGTAGCAGGTGGGATGAACGGCGCAGACGCCGAGCCGGCGGCGCTGGGGCGCGCCCACTTGGCCGAGGCGCTGGCCCTCTACGAGGAGGCGCTACGCCTCCAGCGGATGTGCAGGTCAGCTACGAGATTGTATACTTACAGGCTTCTTTACAACATAGTTGTCAACTGCTTGATGGGAGTAGGATGCGGAATGGCATGACCCGGGTAAGGACGTTAAGATTTTTATTGGAAAGAAATATAAATTTTTTTTGTTAATTTTGTTGTAATATGTCCGGTACAGACTATACAAAACAGAGACTGAGAATTTACTAACATTAAGAAAGAAAAAGCATAATTTACATAAAACAGTTAAAAATGAGTAGAATTCTCTTGGTTCGCCGTGAAACATTAGTCATGGCGAGGTCCGTCCGCGACCGAAATAAGCCCGGTACAGACTGCACGCCGGAGACTGAATTTAAATGTGAACAGTTAGTGTGTGAGTTTCACTTAACTATGAGTACAAACTACAAATGAGATGTCTCTGGCACATAGAATTATGGATCACTAAGGCCAATTTTCAAAAGGCTGTCAACGCATCTGCAACCCTGGGTGTAGCAGATGTCCACGGGCGGTATTGACTTAAGTAACGCAAAAGTGGGCGGGCAGGGAGCTGCGCGGCAAGGAGGCGCTGGCGCGGGCGGTGCAGGCGCAGAGGGCGCGCGCGGCCAGCGACCGCGGCGCCCGCCCCGACGAGCCCGACTTCGGCGACGTGCTCGACGCGCCCGCCATACTGCGTACGTGCCACACCGCCTTTTAAGCCTGGCCATGGAAATGGCTGTGAGATGTAAAGTTGGTTATCTTCGGCACAAAAGATAACTTTAACTTTTTTCTAGTGGGTTTCAGTGCTTAATTTTACGTTTGTATGGGACGACCGGATTTTCTGTATGTGTGAAGTGCACGCGCACTCCTCTAACGAGGAGTTTCAATATTCTATAGATAGATTTGGTTACTAGCGACAGGTATTCGACGTTAGCTCTACAATGTTTACGTCAAAATTTTTAGTATTGTTACGGCGGTTTCAATTACTGCACCATACTGCGTTTCGTCTGGTGAGTGAGGTAGCCTGGGCCCACTTTATTTATGTGTCTAAGGTGGCAACGCATCTGTAACCCTGCGTCAATGGGCGGCGGTTATCACTTAACATCAGGTGGACCGCCGGCTCGTTAGCCACTTTCTCACGTAAACACTATGACCGCGCTCGCCCACCACCGTCACCGTCACCTTCGCCACCGACAGCGTCGTCGAAGTTCCAACTGGCGCTGACGCCGCCGGACTTCGCGCAGCACCGGGTCGAGGACCTGTTCCGGCCGCTGGGGCCCATCGCGGTGTTCTCCGCCAAGAGGCACTGGAGCGCCCCGCGGCTGGTGCAGCTGCAGCGGGGCGGGCGGAGGGCGCGCCGCGCCGCGGAGGGGGGGGAGCGAGCGAGACGGCGGCCGAGCGACAAGCGCGACCGCTCCGAGGACAACAGCGCCTACTACGGCCACAGCGGCAGGGGCGAGGAGGACAAGGTGACGAAACAGAACGGCGTCTACATAAACAGCTACAACAGCTACGGCTACGACTACCACCCGAAGGTAAGAAGAACGTGTAGGTGCAGCGGTTTCTTCCACGATAGCGCTGAGACAGTATCGACTGTGTCACTGTGCGTTAACAACTATGGGCTACGCAACAGTCTTTGCTTTTGCAAAAATGGGCCGGTCCCTCGGGAAAAGTATCACTTCACAGAAGACCGACGTGAAATGGAAGTGTTAAACTTCTGCGTTTCGTCTGTTGAGTGAGGTAGCCGGGGCCCACCCACTTTATTGAAAGGTGGCAACGCATCTGCAACTGGTGTTGAAAATGTGAATGGGCGACGGATCACTTAACTTCAGGTGATCCGCCCGCTCGCTTGCCACCCTTTCGCTTCGCTTAAATAATGATAATACGAACGAAGTGAAGCAGTTAGTTTTCTTCCTGTATCCTAAACTGTCTCACTAAGAAACCATGTTTAACACTAACCTAGCGTTAAACAATACAAAAGGTTTTATCGTTTAGGTTTTAGATTTACATAGCGAGAGAATGAAGATTGAATTTGTGATTGATTGTATGAAAATAACTAGAACCGAAACTAATGAATAAGTACCTACCACTGTTTATATCATCTGTATCGACCAACGATCAATAAATGTAGTTACACTTCACGTTCGCTAGATGATTTTTTTTTTGGGCTGGATGAGCCACTGTTTCCCTTAGGGGCCTTTACAGTTCCGACGGGCTTGAGGTGGGCTGGCGCACGGGGCGCCTAGCTGAACCTCGGACGCTAGATGACGAAAAATGTACTACTCTCAATCAAAACTTTGTATGTTATTGACACAACAAAAACATATCTCATCGTCATCATGATCGTTTCAGCCTGTTTGTGTCCACTGCTGAACATCGTCCGACATTGACTGCCGCGAAGGACGATCCTGAGCCACCTGCATCCATCGACTTGCCAGGTTCAATGGGAATCACTTGTTTTACTGTGGGCCACGGAGCCAAACGTGAAAAACCTGGACTTTGCAGGTGATAGAATATGAGGACTACCACGAGGAGAAGAAGGCGGCCGGCAGGAGGAAGGAGCCTCTGCGGAGGGTCGCCAGCGAATTTGACGTGGCCGCCAAGGAGGAGGGCTTCGGCTTCTCCGTGAGGGGGGACGCCCCCGTCCTGATAGCCGCCGTGGAACCCAACTCCTTGGCCGACGTGAGTGTTTTTAGGGGGTTTACCCACAGGGTAAAACGGGACCCTATGAGTAAGACTCCGCTTTCTGTCTGTCACCAGGCTGTATCTCATGAATCGTGATAATTAGGCAGTTGAAATTTTCACAGATTATGTATTGCCGCTATAACAAGAAATGCTAAAAAAACAGAATAAAAAATATTTAAGTGGGGCTCACATACAACGCACATGATTTTTTTGCCGTTTTTATAGATTTATATGGTACGGAACAGTTTGTGCCGAGTCCAAATCGCACTTGGCCGTTTTTTTTTTAACTTATTGGGACATGAAACATTATAGGTTAGGTTACATTAAGAATTATACGAGACAGAATCTCGAAATATTTCACTAAACGCACCAACAGCAATGTCCGCAAAATAATATTAAGTAAAATAAAATAGAAAGGTTAAGTCAGTGTCAACCCTCTTTTACATATTAAGATTTAAATATTAACTCTTTTACATATTAAGATTTAAATGTAACAATTATTTTTAAATGTCCTTGTGAATTTTTGTGTTTTGGCCGGCAGTAACTCTCCCTACCCTTTAGTGTCTTTTTACCCAAAATACACACCTTTCATCTATACGCATAAACGGGCAGTTTTTTCCCGAGAAGTAGCAAACTTAGCCTTACCTAAATAGCGTAGTTTTTACTTAATTTCTACATATTCTTCTTAGTCGTACGGTGATGATATTGACGTCAACCCGCTTGTTGCTTATATTGCATTGCATCCACTGTCTCTCAGGCCTGGTATGTCCACCTCGTAGGCGATACCTGGCGCCCTAGTACCCTCTATCTTTCCCCGCTGGACTCCGATCGTGTTAATATAAATATTTGTAACGGACATATGGCCTACCATGCATTCCCTTCAATTCCCTTTATTACATTATTTTTCTTTTTTTAAGCAAGGGAGCTAGCGGTCCACCTGATGTTAAGCGCTAACCTCCGCCCGTGGACATTTGCAACATCCGCAGGGTTGCAGATGCGTTGCCACCTTTTAATAAAAGCGGGCCCCGGCTACCTCACTCACCGGACGAAACGCAGAAGTATGACGCTTCCACCCCACGCCGGTCTTCTGTGTTTTTAACGCATTTCGAGTTTCTTTCGCCGGTTCTTCTCAGTACAGTGGCTTTCTTTTCCGAACCGGTAGTAGTGTTTTGACTATCGATAAGCGAGTGTAATGCTCCTATGTCGAACGAAGACATTTGATTTGATCTTTGATTTTTGTCGTGGTAATTACGGACGGAACTGCTCATCCGTGCAACGGCCGAAGCTGCTGCGTTGCGTTACGGATAAAGTAGACTAAGCAGGCGTTCCTTCGGGTGACCTTCGACAGATCGGCGGCATGAGGGAGGGAGACTTCATCATCTCCATCGGGGAGACGGACGTGAAGTGGAGCTCGCACGAGGAGGTGGTGCGGCTGATCCAGCAAGCTGGGGAGTCCCTCACGCTGCGCCTAGCCACCCCCATGGACAAGAGGGAGGCCTGTGGCAAGGTAAATTCCATACATCTCACTAAATCCATAGGCCTTATTCGCTATAAGGGTGTTGCAAACTAAACTGTGATTTGAAATTTATGCTATGGTAACCGATAAGGACTGCTTGCTTGAATGTTAGTGTTTCGTGCTGAGATAACGCTGTGCAAAGTTGAAATTAGCCGATTGTCTCTTTCTAAAGGTCGATGTTTATCGCCGACCATTATACTAATACAATGGAACAATAACAACATCAACCTTTTTTTATAAGTCCAAAAAAAATTGAAAAGTGTTTTTATACAGCGTGTCGTTACCATCGCGACAATAAATGAACACATGTCTAACGCTACTTGCCAATAATGTTAACTTTAAACAAAATCCATAATTAAAAAAAAATATGTTTCAAACAAACTAATTAAGTAAAAAAGAAACAAAATTTGTAACAACTCGTGTCACAGCGTCGTATTACAAGCCTCTCCTTCTAACAGTATGTTTTGTCTCTTTTAAATTCATTCAACCCATTCATATGCTTTGTGACCTTTACAAATGAACTTTACGTTACGCTTTTATAGGTAAGGGTGTTCTAAAATTCTTTGTTTTGGAAAATTTAATAACTCTGTTAATATTGATGTTTAAAGAATTTAAATGTTTAATACAACTTTAAAAAGTTTTCCCCTATATGTGTGTTCATTTATTGTCGCGATGGTAACGACACGCTGTATATGCTGAACTTTAAAAAACTGAAACTTCGTTAACAGTTAACGTTATTATATGATGACTCCGTGGCGCAGTTGCCAAGGTATTGGCTTCGGCGTCGGAGGTCGTGGGTTCGATTCCCGCACGGGACAACTATTTATGCTACCCACAAATAGTTGTTTCGCATCTGGGTGTGAAAAAAAGAAAAAGATTCCGATTAGACCAATATTGCGATATAGTCAGACGAGTCAAATTAATAAATAAATAAAAAAATTTCAACTTAATTGCCATTAGGATATAAAGCAACTTTGATTGTCCGACCCATAGATGATACATAATCATATACTTAATAATGGTCCGACCCGCGTATGTGAAGGTGTCGGAACGTCTAGAAATCGAATTGATAATGTAAACTGCATAATGTGGTAGCACGTCACAGCTTTTGCACGAATGGGCAGGCTCCCACGGCCTCACGGATCGGCTCAAGTGTATAATACTTTCGCGTTTCGTCCGTTGAGCGATGTAGCTGGGGCCTGCTTTGTGAAGTTTGCAACGCAACGCGTCTGAAAGCTCTCGACGGAAAGAAAAACAATTGGGGTCCGATTGAAAAAGGATTCCGCTGCGTGTAGCGTTCACCGCTGATAGGTGGCACTGGGGCCCGTTGCAGGGGTGCGGCGCGGCTGGAGGGGTGGGTGCGGGGGCGGGGGCGGGTGCGGGGGCGGGGTCGCAGGGCTCCGTGTCGGGCGCGTCGAGCGCGTCGAGCGGCTCCACGGCGCACACGGCGCGCTCCCCCCGCCGGGCGCCCTCCTGGAACCCCTTCCGCCGCAACGCCACGCACACGCCCCCCAACGCGCACTCCAACGTCACCTTCAGATAGACCGCAGCCGCAACTCGTCAGCATTTCTTAAACACACTCGAACTCGACACTTGAAGGCGCACTCCACCTATCACCTTCAGATACGTACCCACAAATCGTCATCGCTTCTGTCACCGTTCAAGGGCAGACCGTGGCGCTGACCGTAACGGCATCTCAGCACACTTCTGCCACCACTTAAAGGCACACTCAATAGTCATCTTCGGATAAACGTGACCGCTACTCGGCATAACTTGTGTCACCACTTAGGCACACTCCAATGTCGCCTTCAGATATATTGTAACCGCATCTTAGCACACTCCTGCCACCGCATAGACCGCGACCACCATTTCTTAAGACGCACTTAATCATCACCTTCTAATCGTGCACTTTAACGTCACTTTCAAATAGACTATTACCATAACCCACCATCGCTTGTGTCGCCACGTAAAGCGCCCTCTAACATCACCTTCAAATAGAACCGTACCCACAACTCAGCGTCACTTCTGCCACCACTTTGATAATACGACATCTCACCTGCACAACAAAAACTGCACACACTAATTGCCCCTCGCGTATATGTTACTAGACTATAAATACTGCACGTCAACCTTCGGAAGGAGACAACACTCTGTCTCTCCGTGTTTCGTGCGACAGAGATAGCGCTATTAAGCCGAAATTAGCAGATGGTCTCTTTCCATAGGTCGATGAGTAACATTTATCGCGTACACGATTCTTGAGTAAGCAAGTCATTCTCCTCTAGTTCTTTACTTATGTTAAGGGCCTTGGCTAAAATTCGTTGGAAATTAACTTGCTTATGAATAAAATGTGATTCCAATTCCTTAATTCAATAAGCCTTAGTTGGTAGCGGTTCAAATCCGTTCATTATTTGTTATATATTCGGTGATAGGGATTTGCTGCTATTGTGTATTTAGCATCCTAAATATGTAGTTAGAATTTTGGCTATGATTATCCAAAGGAAAGATGTTTTTCTCTTGTTTTCTTTGTTTGTTAAATTTTATTAATATTCGGGGGACCAATGTTATTATCATTTGTAGTTTTCCTAATATATCTAATATTTTCAAAGTATTTATTTAAAACTTATAGCTTTTATCAAACGTACGTACTTTATTATTCATTATTAACAGAATTCTAATGCGTAGCGAAACAGTCCTGTACGATTTTATATTGCTAGTCTGATATAAGAAAATATATCTTATAATTCTTAATTTGACATTTTTCATTTTTGACTAATCATCTTCGCGTTTATCGATTAAATATTTATACACAAACAAGATCCATATAAAGCAGACGGATGGAAACTTCTAGAAGGTTCGAAGACGGGTCACAGGAAAGCTTAAGTAAACTGTCACATCTTTATTTCACTCAAGACGTGAACAGTTAAGTAAAGATAAAACACCTTTCAGTTCTTTAAGAATTTCAGACAATGTTGCTATGATCATCGCCTGTTAAACAGAAGCTTGAATTTCATTTGTCTTCGAAACGACCTCGAGAAATTACTCCATTTATTAGTTTTAATTAAAAACTTTCGCGAACGTTCTCAAAACGAACATAAATTGCGTTGCATTTCCTACTGTCACAGATAATCAAATCTATTTAATGGGTTTAATTATCTGTAATCTAATAAAATCTGTAGTCGAAATCGGACAATTATTTTCTTATGAGTTACATTTATTTTGGTTGTGATCGATTTAAAGGGCATCCAAATTTGCTTGGTAATTGATCGCAACCGAAATAATTGTTAGAGTGGCACTAAGACATTGTAAAAAGCTAATTTTAGGTTATGAATGTATATCGGTGTAAAAACTCTGTGTAAACTTAGGTTACGATTTAAAAATTGTAAAGATTGTATTTTTATCAACAATAAAATTATTTACCAAATAATGATCACTATTTTTTTCGTTTTATAATCTGCACCCACTTAAACTTCTGTCGACCACCCAAAGCAAAGAGAATATAACCACTACGAGAGACGGGACTTAAGAGACGGGACTTCCATACTAGTACTAGCTAAAAAATATCAGTTTACGCGGCACTCCAATACCAACCATAACACAAAAAGATGTCAAACAACAGGAGTACCAACGTGACGCCAGATAGTGCTTTACCAAGCTAGCATAGCTTCTTATCAATAAAGCATTTAAAATCAATATGGCGAGTCAAAAACATTTATTTCTTATTTGCCTACAAAATAATTTTTAAGCATCTTTAATGACCTTTCGAATTGGTCATTTATTCAATTAATTAACATTCCTTGAACCATTATGGACGAATGGTTTTACAACCATTGTAGTAGGTGGTATGGATAGCTTTTTGTTATGTAGATGATAGATTTTTATATCAAAAGTTTTACCCAGTAAGAGTTTTAACTCTCTTATAAGACGTTAGGGAAGATTGTTCAATTCACTTGTCCGAATTAAAAGTATTGTGGAACGGTTTTTGGTTTTGTGGAGCGGTACAAAAGCCAGTTCCCGCGAATGTGGTTGAAATATATCAAAAGAAGTTTGTAAAACAATAAAACAACAGCAACAACATTTATTCAACAACAACTAAACACACGACAAAACTGTCCAGGCACTTCACCATTTGTTTGAATATCAAGCTCCGGTTAAATGGGAATTCTTGAATAATAAAAATCTTCAATAAAATGAACTGTGTATTTATAGTTGGATCGTTACAATGTTGAGAAGGCCGGTGTACGTGCGTTTGCCAGCGTGGTAGTGAGCGAGTGTCGCGTTGGTGGGGTCGCGATGCCGAGGTGCGCTTGCGATGACCGCTGTTGCTGTGGGATCGGTCCAGCAGCCAATGGCAACGCAAAACCGCGATGACGAAAACGCGACGTCAGGAACATATTCCCCGGGTTGAAGTAGGAAGGCTTCAAGATGATGTAGAAGTTGAGACTGGAAGAGGACAAATATTATTGTATGCTCGTGTGATGGTGCCCTTCGTTGTAACGATGTCAGCCACTCTGCTACGACCATCGGATCCTGGCTTAACAGCAGTGACTCTGCCCATCAGCCAGAGAAGTGGAGGTCGATTTACTTCCTTGACCAGGACCATGGTGCCTATCTTCAGATCTTGACCTGGGGAATTCCACTTCATTCTCTGTTGTAAGAGAGTAATATACTCATTAGTATAACGCTCCCAGAAATGCTGACGGACTTTTTCGATCCTCTGGTAGCGTTGAAGTCGCTCGATCTTGCCGTCGGGTATTTGAGGATACGGTACTGAGGTGAGCGGCCGTCCAATAAGAAAATGGGAAGGAGATAAGTAAGAAAGGTCAGAAGGATCGGTGGATAGAGGCGTCAGGGGTCTGGAATTTAAAATAGCCTCTACCTGACTTAGACATGTCGAAAGTTCTTCATAAGTTAAGTGACTAAGACCAAGGGTGCGACGTAAAAGATGCTTAGTCGACTTAACCGCAGCCTCCCAAATACCTCCAAAATGGGGCGAGTAAGCCGGTATAAATTTAATGTCGATGCCCTGATTCGCGATATCCGATTCTATCTCACTGCAAGAGACTTGTAAGAAGCGTGCAAGCTCATTGAAAGCTCCCACGAATGTAGTACCATTGTCGGAGTACACGCGCTGTGGCTTACCACGACGAGCGATGAACCGACAAAAGGCAGAAAGAAAGGCTTCCTTTGTTAGGTCGGAAACTAACTCCAGATGAACAGCTCTGACTGCAAAGCATACAAAAACACAGATGTAACATTTTATTAGCTTACACCCTCTGCCTTTACGGTCAGCTATCAGCACTGGCCCCGCGTAATCTAAGCCTGTGTTTAAAAATGGGAACTCAAGTTGCGTCCTATCGTTAGGTAAGTTACCCATGATGACCTGAATAGGTTGAGCTTTTATGCGAGTACATCGAATACAATTACGTACAGTTTGCTTAGCTAAGTTTCTGCCACCAAGAGGCCAATACGTAAGCTTCACGTTTGCTAAAGTAATTGTGGCCCTGCGTGTAAAAGAGATAAGTGTAAAGATTTAAAAATTATTTTGGTTAAGTGGTGTTTACTACAGAGTAATATAGGATGCTTAACATCGTAAGTATAATTAGAGTTCTGAAGACGTCCGCCGACACGTAATATGTTATTTGAATCGATGAAAGGAGAAAGGCTTAAAAGTCGATTCTTATTATTTAAATTTTGTTTAGATTTAAGACAAATATATTCGTTAGGAAACATTTCTTTTTGAGCAAATTGTAAAATTAAATTTTTTGAACATTGCAATTCCGAAAAGGTTAAGTAAGAAGATAGTTTATCATGTTTAAATCTGCAATTATAAATGAATCTTTTAACGTAAGCTAATGTTCTAATAAGTTTAGTAAATGATGATAATTTGTGAATCAACTGCGAAATAGAATTATTACAGTTACTCGTTTCATTATTTTTAACAGAGGTATGCAAGGAAGTTTCGGGTAAAGTAATATTCTGAGTATTAGGGGATGCGGGAAAAATAATAGTAGGATTGTTAAGAAATTCTGGTCCCGACAACCAAAGATCGGATGTGCTGATGATATCAGCCTTCGCCCCTCGGGATGCGAGATCAGCGGGATTTAACTTAGATGGCACATAACTCCACGTCTGACCTATTGTGGCTTCTTGTACCTCACAGACTCTGTTACGGACAAAACAGTTAAGTCGACTCGGTTGCGTAGAGAGCCAACCAAGCACAATGGTTGAATCACACCAGAAATAGAATTTATTAAAACGTAAGGTGAGTGACTTACGCACCTTAAGAAACAATCTCGTTCCCAACAAGGCGCCACACAACTCTAAACGGGGTATAGTTGTTGGCTTTATTGGAGCAATTTTATTTTTTGAGGCTAAAAGGCGAACGCAAACCGTTCCATCTTCGGCGACAGACCGAAAATAGATGCACGCGCCATAAGCGCGCTCAGACGCATCTGTGAAAGTGTGAAGTTCAATTAAAACGGGGTTTACACAAGAGACCCAGCGGGGTATTCGAATGGAATTAAGATGAGGAAGTAATGTGACGAATTGGATAAATGATGTTTTTATATCAGCGGGAACATCATCATCCCAATTACATTTTTGCACCCAAAGCTGTTGAAGTAGAATTTTAGCTTGCACAATGCATGGTGCAACAAGACCAAGGGGGTCAAAAACCTGGCTAACTGTAGATAAAATAATACGTTTTGTTATTTTATTTGAAGTTATAGATTGAATGGAAAAAAAGAGTTTGTCTAAATTAGGGTCCCAGAACAAGCCAAGTGTTTTACTAGGAGATAAATCATTTAGGTTAAGAGCTTTTTCTGAGCGCTGATTAATTAAATTTGTGACCGACTCCAAAATCTCCGTATTGTTAGATTGCCATTTTCGAAGATTAAATTTAGCTAATCCTAGTGTACTAACAACGCCGCGACATAACTCAATGACTGATGCAATTGAGTCTCCGCCGCTTAAATAATCATCCACATAAAAGTCACGTCTAATAGATTCGCTAACTTTAGGGTCCGTGCACTCATCAGCAAGGGACACCAAACACTTTGTGGCAAGATACGGAGCTGAAGCTGTGCCATAGGTCACTGTATTAAGAGTGTATGTTTTTAAAGGTTCAGAAGGTTCAAATCTAAATACAATTTGTTGCAACGACCGCTGGCTAGGCTCCACTAAAATAGCTCTATACATTTTTTCGACGTCGGCCGTTACGACAAACCTGTGCTGCCTGAACCGTAAAAGAAGCGAAAATAAGTCTTCTTGTACGGTTGGACCCACCATTTGGATGTCATTGAAGGACTTTCCCGAGGTTGTTGCAGCTGAAGCGTCAAATACCACACGGAGTTTAGTTGTGGCACTGGATTCGCGTACAACACCATGATGCGGCAAGTAATTATTATGTTGAAAGCGATTAGATTTTTTGTTTTCGGTCATGTGATTAAGTTGTATGTACTCATTAATAAATGTTAAATATTTTTGTTTAAAGGAAGTGTCACGTTCGAATCTACGCTCCAGTGAAAGAAATCGACGCTTCGCCGTAACATAAGAGTCACCTAGACTTTGAGGTGGGTCCTTCAATGGTATGGTAACAACGAAACGGCCACTTTCGTCGCGCCGCGTTGTTTCTTTAAAGATTTTTTCGCACATCTGTTCCTCTAAGGAAAGGCTACGCGCGGTAGAAACGGAATCTAACTCCCAAAAGCGTGTTAGCTGTTCAGATTCTTCATGAGAAATAAAATGGCATTGGGAAGGCTGACTACGATAAGGTGACTGATAAACACAGCCTGAAAGAAGCCAACCCAATTTTGAAGAATGAAGCTTAGGTTTATTACTACCTAAGTTTATGTGTTTGGAACCTAGTACGGCCCAAAAGACTTCGGCGCCCACGAGAATGTCGATCGCCGAAGGTATGTTAAAGGTAGGGTCCGCTAATTGAAGACCTGGCGGTATAGATATTTGATGGATATCTATATAAGAGCTAGGCAGCGAATTAGTGATTTTAGGTAATATAAAACAGTTAAGGCTCGCCTTGTAATCACCAAAACAAGACTGAATATTTAATTTACAAGTCTGTGAGGTACTAGAAATTTGACCGTTAATACCTGTAACTGTGGAGCTAGTGTTGCATCTTACCAAACCGAGCTTTTCACAGAGGTCATCGGTGATAAAGTTTGATGTACTACCGTTATCCAATAGGAGTCTAGCAGTGTGAAGGCCTCCGTTGATGTCTGATACTTTTGCCAATGCTGTGGAAAGCAATACAAGAGCCTGATTATTATGGGAAGGTTTTGGTGAGGAGGAAACAAGGTTGGAAGAAAGTACTATACTGTCTACTTTTGGTTGCGTTTCTGATATTTCTTTGTGCAACAAGGTATTATGTTTAAATTTGCAATATTTGCAATGAGAAAGACTGCAACGCTGTGATGCATGGCCTGGTCGAAGGCAATTTGTACAGACTTTGCTTTCAGACACTTTTTTAAAATGCGCGATTCAACATCAAGGTCTCTAAAAGAGGGACAGTTAAACAGAAAGTGGTCTTTAGAGCACATAGGGCACGTTATTTTCTTAGAGTTTTGTGTAATTGTGTAAAAATTCTTAGATTTTGGTGTATTGTTGGAAGATGATGAACAAGGCGTGAAAGAAATATTTTTATTATTGTCTAATGTTTCAAGAAGGTCTGCTCTATTCGACAAAAATTTAATAAATTGTTCTAAATTGGGTAACGCAAATAAATTATTTTTAAATTCTTCCCATTGCCGACTAGTTACAGAGTCCAATTTTCTGGACATTATGAATATAATAAGTGTATCCCAGTGGTGGGTTGGTTGCCCAAGTGTATTAAGCGCCCTTAAGTTTTTATTTGTTACGTCAACCATGTTACGCAATAACTCAGTACACTCTTTTTGCATTTTTGAAAATGTAAAAAGAGCCTGCAAATGATTATTTACTAGCAACCTTTCATTGTCGTATCTCTCACACAATAACTGCCAAGCTATGGAGTAATTAGTAGATTTGAAATCAATACTTTTTATAATCAATGAAGCACTGCCTGTTAATGCAGCGCGGAGATAGTGAAATTTGTTAATTTCTTGTATGCTGTTATTATTGTGAATAAGGGAAAGATACGTATCTCTGAATTCGAGCCAGTGCTGATAGTCACCGTCAAAGTGAGGCAAGTCTATCTTTGGAAGCCTCACGAAGTCGTGCTTACAGACAGAGCCGACCGTCTGGGTACCGTCGTCGTTGAGGCCGGCGGTAGGTGCCGAGGCAGATGTAAGCTGCGAAAGCTGCGCACGGGCACGGGATACCTGCGCGTAGTATTGTGTTTCGAACTGCTCACGCTCGGAATACGCCGCGTCTGGGTCCTCCGACAATACCTCTAACTCGGTCTGAAACACGTCGAATTCACCATAAAGCGATTCTATCTTGTTAAGACGGAATTCTAATTCAGATAGCTGAGAAGGGCTTAAGCTGGTGCAAGGCTGAATTAAATTTAAATAAGTAGCAAATTGAGTAAGCTTTGCTTTTAAGCTTCCACGCTTTCTTACAAGTTCTTTTAATTTTGCGTCAGACATAGCGGTATTGAAAAAAAAAATGTATGTACACGAAAAATATAAAAAAATATAAAACGGTTGCAGGCGCAGCAAGTAGCAAAGCTAGCAAGAAGGCAAATAAAATTGAAAGCTGCTAAAACAAGCTCGCACTATAAGATAATATAAAGGAATATTAAAATTCAAAAAATACAATTAAGTTCGTAAGTTTAAGCATTTAAAGGGCATATGAAGCAGGTTTGTGGCTATACAATTGAATAAAAAAGATCTAAGAAGAAAAAAAAAAAACGATATCAATACAATGACTAAGCGGAAAAAAAAACTAGGTTACGATAATTAATTATGAAGAAGCAATCGTTAAATCATATAGCACTATTTTAATTTCCTGGAGAAATAAAATTATTAAGAAAGGCAGGAAATATAAGGATTGGAACGGACTCACTCAGAATATGCTTTTGACCGCCCTTTAAATGTCCTCTAAAAGTTCTTCAAATGTCCGGCGGGCGGTATTGTCCAAAGTCCACGGGCAAATTGCACAGTAAATAAGACGGCTTTCTCTTTAAAACTCGAAGGACCAATGTTTGAATATCAAGCTCCGATTAAATAGGAATTCTTGAATAATAAAAATCTTCAATAAAATGAACTGTGTATTTTATCGTTGGATCGTTACAATATTGAGAAGGCCGGTATACGTGCGTTTGCGACAGTGGTAACGAGCGAGTGTCGCGTTGGTGGGGTCGCGATGCCGAGGTGCGCTTGCGATGACCGCTGTTGCTGTGGGATCGGTCCAGCAGCCAATGGCAACGCAAAACCGCGATGACGAAAACGCGACGTCAGGAACACCATTAGAGTCCTCGAAGTTACGGGGCACGGTCGACGGAAGTTTGTAAAACAATAAAACGACAACAACATTTATTCAACAACAACTGAACACACGAGAAAACCCAGGCCCAGCAGCCGCTATCTGTCCAGGCACTTCTCCACCAGCCGCTTCGAGTCCTCGTAGACGCCGAAGAACACGAAGCCGCCCAGCGTGAAGGCCGCCATCCTGGGCAGGGCGCCGGCGAACAGCCCCCGCAAACCCGACTCCAGGTATATGCTCGCCAGCACCGGCCTGATGCGGAGCTTCCTCGTGGCCGCGTAGTCTTCGGCGAGCATGATCCTCGTCTTCGCGAGGTCCAGCGGGGTGGTGGCGACCGCCGTCAAACCCCCCGCAACGGAGCCGCAGCACGCGCTCTGAGGGGAAGCGGATATCCGCGCCTTTTTCATTTTCATGACGAACGAATGAACGATAGATAGATCGAACGAATGAATGTTATTTATTGCGTGCATTTATGAGTTAGGTGTGACCAGTGGACAAAAATACATAAAGATGAAAAGTTTCAATTGAGCTTTTACATTGTTAATCTCTGCGCTTATTTAACATTGAAATTTATAGAAAAATGGACGAACTGTGTTCCGGAATCAGACGTTTCAACCACTAAGCTAAATGGCTGATTGCCACACCGGCAAAAACCTCAATGTATTTTATCTACATTGTTTTCTGTACTATTAACGCTTGTACAGCACACAAACAATTTTAATAACGTTTTACAACGATCATTAAGATGCGAAAAAACAAATTTTAACATAAAGATTATTTTATAGGTGTAGCTAAATTTCACTTAATGCATATAATAAACGAGAGCCGTGATAGCTCAGTAGTGTCCGGGCGCTCGCCTTTAATTCAATTTAATAAATATACTAGAGCATCCTGAGTTCGATCCCTGGTGCCGGGCACCAAAGAAATTGTAGATTTTGAGTGCTGACTTATCACGTGCTCAGCGGTGAAGGAAAACATCGTGAGGAAACCTGCGTATTTTCGAAATAATAACAAAAAATATATATTTCGAAGATATGTGAAGTCCGCCAATCGGCAGTGGGGCCGCGTGGTGGACTATGCCCTGATACCCTCTGTACGCGTTCTTGCGTAACGTCACGCTAATTCCGATCACGGACAAGCGACACTGGACTGCACACACTCCTTTGTACTGGGATAGTAGCAGGAATTCCGCGATAACGTTGATCGAGGGCACTCAAACAAACGTATCAGGTGCTACACAATTTATTACAAAAAAACAAAAAATGGTATATTATATTACGACAAATAAAACGATAGCGTGATTTTTTCTAAGCAGCGCCATCTATCGCGAAAGTATTTAAACTACAATTTATCGAATATGGCTGCATATTAATAACAAATGGCGCCACCGTTCAACACCCTCTGTACAAAGGAGGCCTTTGCCCAGCAGTGGGACAGGTATAGGCTTGTTACTTTACTATATAATAAACGATCGAACCTAGGTCGCTCGAGTATATTGAATTAAAATCGCCCGGACAATGAGCTATCACGTAAAAATATATAATTATAAAAGCAAAAAAACTAGCTAGAGAAAAGTGTCTATGAAATACCAGCTTTTAATGTTCCCTCGCGATGTTCACCTTCAACACTGACTGCGTGTTGCATAATACTTATCGTGATTATAAAATAGTTCACGGAGTAAATCAGATCGTAATAGAAAAGATTTTATTATTTAACAGAAGCGTATTTAACTGCGACTAAAGTACCAGCCTGCCTTGTTGTTATCTCGTCCTAAGTCGTAACAGCTTAACCGTTTACAACTACAGCTCCGAATTAATATTCTTATCTCCTCAAATTAGGAAACAAGATAATGGTAGAATGCAACTAGAAATTTAGGTAAGGTGGCACACTTTTTTAAAGGCTGACGATAATCAACCCTACATGTTTTTAAGGTCCATAGGCTCTTGCAAGATCCATGATCACTCCACATCAGGTGAACCGCCGGCTTCCATGCTAACTTCTAGAAAGGTAGAGACACGCAACAACTTCGGCTGTAGCACGAATGGGCAGGTCCGTCCGGGTAAGTACCACGACCTCACAGAGGACCAGCGTGAAGTGGAAATGTCATACTTCTGGTTTCGTCCGATCAGCGAGGTAGCCGGGGTCCATTTTATTAAAACGTGACAACGCATCCGGTGTTGCAACTCCATGGGCGGCGGTTGTACATTAATATCGGATGAACTACTAGCTGACTAGCCACCTTCTCACATAAAAAAACAAAGGATGATCTCACCTGGAATCCGTTGATCTCGCCGCCGTTCCTCTCCCTCACCATCGTCTTCAGCATCTCCCAGAGTGGCAGCTCGATGATGCTGAAGGGTATGTCCCTCGCCACCGTGGAGAAGAAGCCGCGGTACAACCCTCGCGTGAATCCTTCCGCCTTGTAGGCGTCCGTTAGAATGGATATCGCGCTGAGGCTCTTCGCCCCAACGTGGGTCTGCTTACGCTGCTTCGCTATCTCCGTGGGCACGCGGATCACGCAGGCCAGCTAGGGGCAAGGAGAGATGGGAAGAAGAAAGAAGACTCAAAATGTGAGCATTTGACTTTTTCTACAACTGAACGCTTGGCACTTTTCTCAATTCAATGCAGAAGGCCATCTCTTTTGGTAAGGGCCTCCACTTACAGCCTGCCATTACCGAAACAAATCCAAATGACAGTTTTGCAAAATCAACGCCCTGAGAACGAATGAGAAATGAACGACCACCTCTAACCTACATATCAAGTCGTTTCACTCACAAGGAAAGCCTGACAAACAAGTAGGACTGCCATAATGCTTACCACTTCGCCGATGCTTGCGGCGAACATATGAACCATTGGTGCGTACTGTGGCGCCACCAGCGGTTGTACCAAACTCTTGGTGGTCTCGTAGCAGACGAAGAACAACGCCGTTGTGGGCATCGAGGTTGCGGCCACAGTTGCCAACCCTGACGACGACAAAGTTACGATATAAGCTTATAGATTAGTCACAACCCTATCAACATCATACAGAATCATTTTGCGCTAACCATCTTCACCAAGATTACTTAGTTGTAAAATGCCACTATGTTCATACGCTTCATAAATTTGTATATGAGTCATCATTATTAAAAATTTCTCCAAACTCAAACTAGACTGTAATCTATCATCATTTTCTATTAGAATTCTAGTAACTTTAGATGTTAGGTTAACAACGGCCACTGTCTTGTAAGTTAAACATAATATTTTATAAAAAAAAACATTAAATAAACTGAGACTGTCTCAGTTTATTTAATGTTTTTTTCAGCTACTGCTTTACGCAATTTTAAAACCATATTGAAGCAATATGTACCTTTATAAACCCCACGGAAACCGCCAGCCTTCTGAAAACCTTTCTCGCTCTGCAAACGCGTCTTCAGTGTGTCCAACGGATACAGTGTCAAATCTACAGATATGCCAGCCATAGCACCAGCCTACAAGTCAACACAATATTTATTTAACTATGACACTACATAATTTTAATATTGTGATAGGTAGGATTCAAGAAATTAGTGTGACAAGTAAAGATGGTATATACAGCGTGTAGTTACCATCGCGACAATAAATGAACACGCGTCTAACGCTACGTGCCAATAATAATAAAAAAATATTAACCTTAAACAAAATCCATAATTAAAATATTTTTCAAACAAACTAATCAAGTAAAAAAGGAACAAAATTTGTAACATCCTATACAACTCGCGCCACAGCGTCGTATTACAAGCCTCTCCTTCTAACAGTATGTTTTGTCTCTCTTAAATTCATTCAACCCATTCATATGCTTTGTGACCTTTACAAATGAACTTTACGTTACGCTTTTATAGGTAAGGATGTTCTAAAATTCTTTGTTTTGGAAAATTTTATAACTCTGTAAATATTGATGTTTAAAGAATTTAAATGTTTAATACAACTTTAAAAATTTATCCCCTATATGTGTTCATTTATTGTCACAATGGTAATGACACGCTGTATATGCTGTTGCTGGAATAGGCAGACTGGTCCGGATAATTAGCACAGCCTCACAGAAGACCAACCTGAAGTGAAGCATAACTAATAATATAGCATAACATATTTCATAACATATTTAAACCACCTGTTTGCAAGCTCATTTGACAACTTTTCCAATTAAAATTTATTCTTAAATGGTGGTGCAAAGAAATAAATTTGAGCAGTAATTTATGTTAAACTCAATATTGAATTGGATTTTAACCCACAAACTAAGACAGTGTGTTGAACAACTACACAGCTGTCATTGGATTTTACATTTTAGATATTAATATAAAATGGTTAAATTTTCCATTAGCTTCCAGGTGTTTTTCAACCTAACAAAAATTTTATTTAGTAATGAAATAATTAACAGTGGAAAAACACCTAGCAGCTAATGGAAAAAAATACGGAATAATTTAACAGGAATATTGATAAGCTTTCAAGTTTTTTATTTGAACAGGCACAATCTTGTTGCAATTCAAAATCCATCAACAATTATACACATTCACATTATTCTTTTCACCACACATCGCTATTATCAAGGGGATGTTACATTCTACTTATGAAATTGTTAATATATCATTTTATCTTAAAATAATGTCTATATACATAACCTGTTTTGTAATATTAAAACGATTCGGCCTTATGGAATGTAAATACAATAAATATGAAACTTACAAATAATGGCGCAATATAGTAGTAAGTCGTCTTCGGTCTTGAGGTATCCATGATAAAGTTCAAATATAAATTATCACCAGAATATATTATTTAAACTTTTATATTAAAGCCGACCAAGATAAACTCTTACATAACAAACGGAGAATTATTATATCAAATTATAATAAAAAACAAGTGAAAAATTGAAACATTTAACTAATTTCCATATTATAATATCAACTAAAATAAAGTAAATTATATTTTCGAAGAAAATACGGCCTCGCAACTAACATTACATTTTGTTATGACTTTTGTTTGACACTGACAATCAAGAATGAAGAAGTCAAATAAATAGTCGTTTCGAAATATCCAATCGATTATATAATGTACACACGACTGAAACCCGATAACAACAATAAAAAAAATAAACAAATTGTGAACCTAACCATTCTCGAATCGAGCTGAAGACACAAAAAATTTCATTAAAATCACAACAGGTACAGCCGTTTAGGAGTTCAGTAAAATACACACGTACAGAAGAATTATATATATAAAAATTCGCAGAATCTCTTCAGAGCATTTAAGGAACCAAACACATACATAAATGAGCTAATAAAATATTTGCATTGGAACTTGCTGACGGGACCTTAGCCCAGCAGTGGGAAGGAATAGACTCAAAACATTTAATGGTTATACGTTAGTAATGCAATTTCACTTTGACTTAGCTAAGTTAACGTTCAATATGGCATCATTGAGGCGAAAAGATATTTCCGTTGCCAAGCAACTATTACAAAGAGTAAATTTGACTTTACAGTTTTTTATAATTGTTTTACTCTAATTCAAAATGCCCAAAGTGGTAAAGGATCCACATGAAGGCATTAAGTATCACAACGTGCGAAAAGGAAGCGAACCTGGTTGCTACCAATTACATAGGTAAGTTTTTTGGAGTGGTAAACACAATAAATCAACAAAATATATCATGTTTTATGAATTAAGATATTTATTACTATATGGTGGTTTCATAAAGTTTTGCTTGGACTGGAATATATAATTCATAATTCATAAAATTTAGATTATAAGAAAATACATGATTATTTAAAGCAAGCAATGTTTGTTCTCTGTGCGTTCCGGTGCCATAAAACTTTAGTGAGCTTCGCGAAATATACGTAGATCTCCATTGAACATGGTTTCGTTCAATAATGTATCGTATTCGCGTATATAATAATAATATAAATATTTATAGATGAGAAAAGATGTTAATTCTTAACTGTGGTAGGGCCACGCAACAGCCTTCGCTGTTGCACCAATGGGCTGATCCGTCCGGATAAGTACCGCAAGCTCACTGAAGACCGGTGTGAAGTGGAAGTGTTTCTGCGTTTTGTCTGTTGAGTGTAGTAGCTGGGGCCCAATTTATTACAAGGTGGCATCGCATCTGCTATCCTACGGGTATTCCAAATGGGCGCCGGTTATCACTTAAGCTCAGGTGAACCACCTGCTTGTTTGCCACCTTCTCTCATAAAAAAGGCACCATAACATTGCTTCCCACAGGCCATCGGAATGCCGCCTGAAGTTCCCGAAAACCAAACGGCCAATCCACAAATGCGAAATACCGAAACGCGAGTTCACTCTGGTGCCACAGATAGGAGGATGGAGGTCGCTGCTAATCCCGAAAAAAGAGCCCAATTACTACCCGGCCGTGATGCATAAGAGTGAATTCGAGAGGCTTAAGAAACAAGCCAAGGTGAGATGGTTCTGCCGGTAATGCAGAATATTAAACCAACGGTAAATACAGCATTTACCTCATGTATTCGTTCAATGATCTACTAAAACCAGCAATGCTATTTTAAGGTTATATAGGATTCTTGTATTACCTTGATTTAAAATAATATCGCGGTAAAGATTATGATACTCCGTCACATTTCAATATTTCAGCACTTTCAACATTATCCGATATCAGATATGGAAATAAAGTTATATATTCATTTCGATTTTACCCGTTAGTTATGCATTTGCCTGTATTTGAGTCTCGTAGTCTACAATACAACATGTCGTCGTAACTTAAATCATTACATAATTACGTCAATATCGTATGAGTGATTACAAACTGTCGTTTAACACAGTCTCTAGGTAAATGATAACAACTCATTGTGCACTAATAGTTATTTTTTTTTTTTTCTTTTAAAAACATTGCCCTTACTTTAGGACAACATTATCCTGTGTTGTAAGGACGTTTTATAAACATAAATTTCACGCGGACAAACCCCGAAATGCGAAACATCTGTGGGTCACACAAATAGTTGTCCCGTCTGGGAATCGAACCCACGACCCCCGACGCCGAAGCCAATACCTTGGCAACTGCGCCACGGAGTCATCAATTACTGTACTAAACAATTAATTTTATTAAGCATTTATTGAACGATTATCTGTCGGAAGGTTAATACATTTTCCTTCAGGTAATAATATATGCCTTATTGTAATTATTTTTCCGTTTTCGGTGCCCAGGAATATGGTGCACTGGCCACTAAAGTACTAGTCTCGGAATTTCTAATATGTAAACGAGGCTCATAAGTTCGCAATTTAAAAAAAACTAATAAAGCTGTACAGCATATGACTGGGTGACGAAGGTGGGTAATCGGATCAACATATAAGCAGTTCTCAATTTTTGATGTTACCATGACAGATAGTGACGCAAGAGGAGCAGCTCAGAGCCATGCACGAGCAGGAGGCCGCGGTGCAGAAGGCGGCACGCGAGTCCGAGGAACGGAAGGAGCTGCTGAAGAAGAAGCTGCTTCCCCAACCGGGGGCAGAGGTCGCCACGGGCGCTGTCGATCCTGAATTGGAGGGCCCCGACCAGAATGCGCACACGCTGTCCAGGGCCGAAGGTAGGTATATGGATATAGAGAACAGAATAGAATAGATTTATTTGTATATGTGGTATAAAAGATTCTGAATAAGTGTTCTATCGCATTAAAATAATTATTTCTAGTGTACATGCAAATCAAATCCACTAATAAATCACGCAAGGTACACCCAGTCCAGCGAAAACTAATTGTAAATCTCATAAACATCTGTTCCTTCAGAGAATAGATCCGACAACATGACGCCCAACGCCGTTGGTGTACAGTAGAGTCATTTTATTAACTCTGGGTGTGTGTTTTTTGAGCATTTATGCGTGGGAGATTTCCATCAAGATTTTTGCCAAATCATGCACCGTCAATTGAGGTATCTGTGTGGGTAAACACATTGTCGGGTTGAGCAAGCGCGGAGCTCGTAGGGATTCTTTCAAATAGTCCTCGGTCTGCTTTGGGTTCTTAAGTATAATGTGGTAAAAAACAATCCAATAAGTTTCAAAAAAGAATTATTGATGACTCCGTGGCGCAATTGCTAAGGGCTTCGGCGTCGGGGGTCGTGGGTTCGATTCCCACACGGGACAACTATTTATGCGACCCACAAATAGTTGTTTCGCATCTGGGTGTTTGTCCTCGTGCAATTTGTATTTGTAAAACATCCTTACAACACAGGATTATAAATTATCCTAAAGTAAGGGCAATGTTGTTTTTTTTCTATTTGTGTGACCAATAGATAGTTGTTTTGCATCTGGGTGTTTGTGCACCTGAAATTTATGTTTGTAAAACGTCCAACGCAACGTTTTTAATAAAAAATAAAGAAAAAAAGATTAAGGCCCAGACAAAGATGAGTGGTTTTAAATGCGGGGCCCCTTTTGGCGCGGGGCCCGTAGCAATTGCTACACTTGCTACGTGGTTAATCCGGGACTGGATAATTACGATTACGGCAGTTTTTATAAAGATCGCTCATTCCTTATACACATATAAATAACGTCTCACTGTAAGTGTATGAACCAAGTTCGTTATATAGTTCTAAAACATGCCAAGCTCGTTAAAAATTCTTGAGAGCTGTTTGTTGCTCTCTGCAGTGCTGCTCGCCGACAACATGCAAGGGCCCAGACTCTGCAACAGGATCATCTTGGCGTCCAAATGCCACGCCATCCGCGACGCGCAGATCGCCGAGAAGGACCTCATCAAGAAGGAACTGACCGAAGAAGAGAGGAGGTAATTACTATCAGTACATAGTATAAAACAAAGTCGTCCCCCTGTCTGTCTGGCGCTATGTATGCTTAGATCTTTAAAACAATGCAACGGATCTTGATGCGGTTTTTTTCACTAGATAGTGATTAAAGATGAAGGCTTATATGTAAAATACATTGCACCCGTGCGAAACCGGGGCGGGTAGCTAGTTATACTACAAGAAATTTGCAATAGACACCCAAGCAAAGATGTTGCACGCGTCTTCGTAACCACAAAGAGACCTCACTTATCGACGGAATCGCAAAGTAATAATATTTTTGCTTCTCACCTATGTTCTGTGAGACCTTGGTAGGTATGGAGCTAAACCCAATCGTGCAGCAGATTTTTATATGTAAGCTGTAATTACACTACTAAAGTAAAAGGTTGTTGTACAGGATTCATTTCAAAATAACACAATTTCGCCTTATACCTATCTATCACTGATCTTGTGTGTTCGTGTTTAATTTTTTCTGATATTTCTTTCCAATATTATTTACGTCTATTTTCAAACAGGGTGCGATCTCAGATCTCTTTTAATTTCCCATATAGGGCGAGTTGACATCTGAAAGAAAAAAAAGAAATGTTGATTCGGCGCATTAGATTAACAGGAAAAAAAAAGTAACAAGAATAACACTGAAATCGTAAAAATGTACGCACCAAAAAGGTTTCAGCTCAGTATATACCCGCGGCAGAAAGTGCCACGGTGCTGGTTTTCTACGAATGCCTTTAAAGTTTGCCGTTCACCTCCGTGTGTACGGTCAACTAGTAATAAAATTAAAAATTAAAATCCAAAACAAAATTAAATTAAAATATACAAAGTTATGGGCCTATGTTCAGCAGTGGACGTCCTACGGCTGATATGATGATGATGATGATGATACAAAGTTATCTTTCCTTTCAGACTGGACGCCATCATGGAGGAGAACCGTCTCGCGGCAGTGAGGAGAGCTGAAGAGGAGGAGGAGCGACGCCACCAGCTACGGCTGCAGAACCTCGCCGCGCTGAAAGAGCAGATAGAGGCACACGACACTGCTAAGGCAAGTGGCCAGCTTACTAATGCTACAGCACGGAGCGTATCTAAGAAAGAAATATTTATTTGGTACATAACAAACAAAACATAAAATAAAAACAAAATAAAAATAACAAATTAAATTTAGAAATCACAACTTGAGGTCAATTTACCAAAAAGGTCACCACTCAGCATTACATCGCATAAAAGAGAAAATATTTTTGCGATTACTGATTTTCAGTGGAGCCTGGAGAGATTGATAGATGACGACTTTAACAACAATAATAACATATAATTTAACAAAAACAGATTATTAATATACATACATAACAACAATTGCATTTAGCGCCTGTTTGTATGTGTGTGTGGTCATTTTTTGTAAATGATTTGTAAGTGGTAATGTAAGTTTTGGAATTGTATTGTATTGTATTGTTATTTGGAAATAAACTCTAGGGGTTTCAAGTGCCGGATTTTTGCATTGATATCAGAAAGGCTTTTAATTTAGCTTTGAAGGAATGAATAGACACTCTCTATCTCGCTTACTTTGATCCTAATACTCCAACTTTCTAACGCCTTACACTAAATTCAAATATCTTTATTCAATATACAAGTATACACTTATCTACTTATTGATTGTCAAAAATCACTACTTCCGGTTCGGAAGAAAAGTCACTGATCCGAGAAGAATCAACGAAAGAAACTAGGCAGCAGGATAATTAAGTTTTTTTAACATAATTTGTCAAAAAGCAACAAACGTATATAATATACCAGCTGTGCCCGCGACTTCGTCCGCGTGGAATTTGAAAGAAATAAAAGTAGCTTGAGTTACTCCTTATAACATCAGTTATGCGTAGTTTGCATGTTTGCATTTAGTATATTTATAAGATATGTACCTTTTTTGTTATTTTCTCTTTTTAAAATTAAATTTTGGATTTTGTTTTGCGCCTTCGTCAAATTTTCACTTCTCCCAGGGTTGACTGGAAGAGAATGCTTATTAGCAGCTTATTAAAGTTTGCCTTTTGTTTGGCCGTTTGGGGTGTAGACAATAAATTTTTTGTTTCTATTTCATATGCATTTTACTTCTAGTAGGATATGATTTTACTGTGTCGTGACTAATTTCTAAACACATAAAAGTTTTATGGTCGAACACCAATATTCATGGAGTGATTTTCGACCGATTAAAAAAAACAGGAAGTTCTCAATTCTGTTGTATGTTTTTTCTTATTTATTGAGGTAACATATCTCAGAATTCGGTCATTTATGAACCAATTTAAATATTTTTATATTTGGAGTCGGTTCTGTTTTTTGTTGTTAAAAATGTTTTACTTTTGTCGTAAGGTTTCGGTATTGAAAATACAGCAGAAAATCATCACAAAAGTTAGTGTGGGACGAGAGCTTTTAATATTCCAGATAATGGAAGCGGAGCGCATAGAGGAGGAGAGCATTAGAGTGAACCAGGCGAACATCGCGATGCGGATCGACGAGGCGCAGAAACTGAAGGAGAAACAAGAGAGGCAGGCGAAGCTTAAGGAGATCCTCGACCAAGGTGGGTTTTGAGCCAATCGTAGATCGGACCAGATTTGTTTTTATGTGAGAAGGTGGCAAAAGACCCGGCAGTTCATCTGATGTTAAGTGATAACCACCGCCCATTGACATTTGCAACACCCGTGGAGTTGCAGATGCATTGCCACCTTGTAATAATTGGGGCCCGGATACCACCGGACGAAACGCAGAAGCGTAACACTTCCAGTTCACACCGGTCTTATGTGAGGTCGTGGTACTTACCCGGACGGACCTGCCCATTCGTGCAACAGCGAGCTGTTGCGTGGCCCTACCACAGTTACAACCTCTTGGCAATTTTAAATTTGTGCTATTAGAAGTAATACTTCATCGATCTACCAAACGCGGATTTTCATCTGTGGTATAGCCAGCCAACAGCGTTTTCTATCTCTTGTGTGACCCGGTTCCTTCAGAAAAGTACCGCAACTAGAACTGAGGGAACCGGATCACAGTGAAGAATAGATGGTAGAAGGTCAGCGGAAAGTAAATGTTATATACTTTTACTCTTGTGTCTTTTGGTAAGTGAGAATCCCACACTTAACACAGAGAAGCTAATTCGGAAAGTAAAAACTAATATGAAATCCCCCTATAAGCAATCGTAAAACTAATCGAACGGAACTTCATCGATCAGCTTGGGTTTTGCTTTAAATAATCACACACCCAATCAGGAAACACTTCGTTGAATACAGTGACTTCATATTGCAGGTGTTTCATGATAATTTCTTATGATGGTAGGGCTTATGGTGGTAATACTGCTGTCTGTTTTTCCCGATCATCTGGGACGTAAAATCGACACACTCCTGTCGTAATCGGAGACTAGTTCACAGCCATTATCGCGGTCTATTTCTAATATAACTACAGATGTTTCGATTACTATACATATGACCAGTGTCACGTATTGGACGTAATTTTCCATGTTTGTCCATTAGGCCCGTACAGCGTTTACATATTGTTTGCATTAAGAATTTGCAAAAAAGTAAAATGGCGACGTTGCGAGCGTTGCTTCAGACCTAATGATAAATGATAAACGTCAACTCCGCAGTCTTAAATACTTCCTCCGATTGACCATTCGGTCAGTCGCGACCAAAGTGTGTACAATCGCACAGCTTGTGAAAGTGTGTGTGTGTGTGTTCGCAGAAGCTATACGCACTTCTAACTTTTGCACTATGATAGAAAACTGGTCCAGAAGTCAGAAAGAGTATATGGACCGGTTTATTTTGTCATCCATGTTTCCAGGCAACGCGGAACTGCTGTACTTCAAGCAGTTGCAGAACGAGGAGGAGCGAATACTGAACCTCCGGATCGCCGAGTTCCTGAGGAGGCGCCAGGAGCGGGAGTCGCGCGCCAGGGCCGAGGCGGAAGCGGTGAAAGCGGCCAAGCAGAAGGGCATCGACCACATCGCCAAGGCCCAGAAGGTGAATATCAAAATGTTGTTTTGTTGATAAATATGACTGACTGTGGTAGGGCCGGCTAATTATTCCACCTCGAATAATCGAAAACATTTCAAATATCAGAGTAGAAAATTGCTTGAACTTATTTTATTTCCACCCATTAAGCGAGCCCCATAATATCTTAGCGTCCGGGCGCTCGCCTTTAATTCAATATACTCGAGCAACCCGAGTTCGATCCCCGGTGCCGGCAGAAATGAAATTGTTAATTTTAAGGCTGACTATGAATAATATAGTAGCATTTATATAGTAGGCTTTTGCTCAGCAGTGGCAATTGTAAAGGCTGTTACTTTACATTAAGCTAAAACACTGCAACGCAATTAACAAGCTGGTCAAATATCTAACGGAAACCACCTTGACCCCTACGCAGGCGGAACAGGAGCTGAAGGAGGAGCTGGAACGCATCCGCAACCTGAAGATCCAGGAGGACGTGGAGCGAGAGTACCGGCGCAAGGAGCGCGAAGCAGCCATCAAGAGGAACAGGGAGATGAAGCAACTTCACGAGGCCAGGGTCAACCAGGTCGGTTGGCAATACCGCATCTTCTAGCTTTAGGTTCACAGTGTCAACCAGATCGTTTGGAACGCAGAATACAGAATCTACCAGCGTGAGAGCTACAGGGTCAACCAGGACGGTTGGTGATACCGCATCTTCTAGCTTAAGGTTTACAGGGTCAACCAGGTCGTTTGGAACTCAGAAGACAGAATCTACCAGCTTAAGAGCTACAGGGTCAACCAGGTCGGATGGAAATACGGCGTCTTCTATCTTAAGGTTCACAGTGTCAACCAGATCGTTTGAAACGCAGAAGACAGCATCTACCAGCTTAAAGTTTACAGGGTGAACCAGGTTGGCACTACCGCATCTTCTAGCTTTAGCTTCACAGGGTGAACCGGGTCGTTTGGCACGCAGAAGTAGCCAAGTTCAATTTGGATTTAAGTCGGATATATTAGGGGTCAGAGCGTACCGCACTAGTTCTCAATAAGTTCCAGTATATGATTCTATGGTCGCCAAATCAAATATAATCATATTTTTTACAAAAATAAACCGACTTCAAACCGGAAACTAAAATAACATTGTTATTCCCTATAACATTAGAGGATTGCCCTCGATTTCCCTGGGATGCCATCATCAGATACGGCTTTCCTTATCATAGTAACGCCCTTGGGATATCTCCTTTCCAACAAAAGAAAATCATCAAATGGCGAAGTTCTCCGCGAACATACATAAAAAAATATATACGGTCCAATTGAGAGACCACCGTCTTCTTTGAAGTTAAAACAAGATCATAACAAGTCACCCCGCCAGTATTGTAAGCAACGAATCGATCGTGAGAGTGGCAGAAGTCACAAATTTGAGGGTAATGATGGACAACAAACTGCGTTTTGAGAAGCATATTATGGGTATTGCACGTAACTGCTTTTACAGGTTCAGAGTACTCTATCGTATTCGTGATTACCTAAGTGTTCCCTTATGTATAAATCTGTGCGAGTCTCTCGTGCTTTCAAAATTCATGTACTGGGATTCTCTCTTAGGCCCACGTCTATATTTATCACGATTATATTATCACGAACCAGGTCCTTTGGAACGCAGAAGACATAATCTACCAGCTTGAGAGCTACAGGGTCAGCCAGTTCGGTTAGCAATACGGCGTCTCCTAGGTTAAGGTCTATAGGGTCGACTAGGTCGTTTGGCCTCTCTCTGTTAGAAACTAAGGAAACGAGCTGATTAATCTTCTCTCTGTCGTCAGATCCACGACATCCACCGTCTAATTGCGCGCGAGATTGCGAAGGATGAGCAGAGCTTCAACAACGCCGCCAGACAGAACGAGGAGTTTCTGCAGAAGGAGAAAATGGTGCGACAACAAGAGTTCTTGTATTTACACAAACAATACTCTTGGTTAAATGAAATATTTTAACAGACATTGATTTATAGATGACTCTTGTCTCTTGCCCCAAAGGGTGTGGGTTCGATCCCCACTAATACTGTATGTGTTTTCCTAATCTATATACGTTAAATTCGAACCTACGAAATCTGGTTTCGCGCTCAGACGCTTTACTAACTAAGCTAAGCGGCCGATGACCTCGCGGCACGAAAATCTCGACAACTATCTACGTCTGTTCTATAGCATTTTAACAATTGCTTAGCGCGTCTAGTGTGCATTACAGCACACAACACCTTAGCTGCACCTTCTATAGCTTACTTCTTATTTCTCACCTTCTATAGCTGCAATGTCAGCTATACAGTGCATAGCTCATCTTCGTTACTTACTCTACAATTGTGGTATCAACAATACTAGGAATTATATAAGTTACTCTATTCCCCCCAATCCATCATCGGATAGCTAAACAATCTACGAGACTCCATCCCTTTGTGTTCCACATTCCTCACAAATTGATCATATTAAGAAAATGTTTCGACGAAATGCAAAGTCCGCAAATCCGCGTGGTGTAATATGTCCTAATAACATCTGTACAGTTGAGATGTTTTCCCAGCAGTGGGACATTTATAGGCTACCTTATTTGTACTTACAGAAAAGGAGTGGAATAGTTTGCCAGTGTCAGTTTACCCGTCCAATCACAATTTGTGTCTTCTAGGCAAGAGTTAATAGGCTATTACTGAGCTAGCCCGTTTACCATTTAAGATTACATCTTACTGACTAGTAGAGGTAGTAGCCGAGTACTAGACGGTTTTTTTTATTAAAAATAAAGTAGTGCCTATGTCTTATCTTCTTTATTTCCAGTTGGAGGAACAGCGCAAAGCTCGAATCGAGCGTCATCGGCAAGAAATCATGAAGCAAATCAACGACAAAGAGCGCGCCAGGTATAGATTTGTAGTAATGATGAAAATACACATAACACTAGATATAACTCCTTCTTAATATATTCCGTATCGAATTTGGTAACTACACCAGGTTTGTTCATAATTTTAAGCGCCAATGAAAGTGGAAACTTATTAGGAATGAGTTAGCCAAAAAAGAACTGATAAGGAACAGACAAAATAGTGTAATAAGTCAATAATTTAAAAAAAAAAACAAAAAAGTCGTCTGCGGTACGAAACATTTTTTTCGGAACAAACTTGCCGCCAAAAATTCTCCATTTTGATTCTTTATAACTTTAATATACCCAGTGATTCGTGCAAGACGAATCTTGCGTTTTTTTTTTAACCAAATTGGTTCAACCCTTTAGTAGTTACGAGGGTACTTAAGGACGGGTATAGATACATCCATATAGGTCAAGAACATACTGTCTTGTTTTGGGTTTGGCCACTGTCAGGTGTAAACGAGTTTAGACATCCAACTAGGATACAAATTATTTCCTTGGCATACGGAATCTTTGCCATGCTTACAACTCTACAACATTACGCCGTTGTAAACCGTAACTTCTATATTTTATCTTCTTCGTCCTTCTATGCGCCAGGGCCGAGCTGAGGGAGAGGATACGCAACGAAGGCGTCGCGCTGCGTATGGAGCAAGAGCAACAGGAGAAGTACGAAAGGAAGGTCATCAAGAACAAGGTGGGCGGTCTCTTGACGTGTTCATGTTTCAACAGCAGTTCACATTGATGTTTGTATTTAGATGTGTTTTAAACTCACCCATCTAACCAAACTCTTTTCTTATGAACTGCGCAATTGTTGTATTATTATTATTTCTGCGTATTTAAAACGTTATCCCTACTTTAGGATCACGTTGTCCTGCGTCGAAGATGTTTTACAAACATGTTTCACGAACACTAAAGCCCATATTCGGGACGACACAAATTCTGTGGGTCATACAATTACTTATCCCGCGTGGGACATGAATCCACGACCCTCGACCTCGACCGTGATATCCACGTACTAACGTAATTACCTTAATCCAAAGTCAAAAAATTTTGATTTGTAATTCTATAACATATTTAGTCAGGATCACCATTTGTGAAATACAAAAAAATGTGAAAAAAAAGTAAAGTAACAGCCTATACATGTCCCACTGCTGGGCAAAGGCCTCCTCTATATAGAGGGTATCATGGCATAGTCCACCACGCGGCCCCACTGCGGATTGGCGGACTTCACATATCTTCGAAATATATTTTTTTTTTTTTTGTTATTATTTCGAAAATATGCAGGTTTCCTCACGATGTTTTCCTTCACCGCGGAGCACGTGATAAGCCGGCACTTATAGTTAAAAACTGCATTGGCGCCGGCGCCGGGGATCGAACTCAGGTTGCTCGAGTATATTGAATTAAAGGCGAGCGCCCGGACACTGAGCTAAAGATGTATTTGCAAATAATTTAAAGATTCTTTTTTTTTTATAATATCGACTTTGGACACAAATCCACGTGTTATCTCAAATAATTTAATACACTTTACTTTATAAAAGGTAATACGAAATAGTTACCAATACTATCCTACGGCATGAACCAAGCGTACAAGCGTATTTAGTGAATAACTATGAATTAATACGTATAATTTATTATGCGTAATATCTTAATGATTTATCGTATTTACGATATACTTTTTAGTTATTTAATATCCCGACACGCACGAAATACAATATCACGGCTAAGACTTTGTATGCTGTTAGTGTTAGACATCTAGAAAGCGATAAAATACGTAGCAATTATTTCAATTTACATTTATGCTATAATATTATATTGTCTCTTTTAGGTGGCGGACATGAGACAGCAAAAGGTGGCGGAGAAATACGTGAAGGAAGTGGAGCAGACGCTCGGCAAGCACGGATATTAGGGGTTCTCGCGTATCCGCCTTCGAAAAGACGAAATTCAGAGGAAGAATAAATCTCACAGAGCTAACAGAAATAAATTGCCTTTCATTTGCCCACGAATTACCATTTTCGCCTTAATAATGACTCTCAGCAGAACTTTTTTGTTCACTCAGAATTACAGCTACTGTGAAACTTATTTTTGTATAGTGCTAATCTCTGCACAAGATTAAACATTAAAATTAAACATTATTAAAATTTGTAGAAAAAAATCGTAAAGTTTTTCACCGCTGTGGGAAACGAACCCACGTCTTTGAGATTCGCGCCCTGTCGCTTTAGCCACTAAGCTAAACGGCTATCGTTCGAAACATCGTCGTAAACGATATTCGAAACTGGAAAGGATTTTACAATGGATGCGCAAAGCATTGCTTCAAATGCTAAAAATCGCTGTAGATAAATGACGTTGATATTTTTGTCGGTGTGGCGACCAGCTGTTTAGCTTAGTGGCTAAAGCGAGTTCGATTCCCACAGCGGCGAAAAACTTTTCGTACAAATTTTAATGTTCCGTGAAACGTCAATTTGGGGTGCAAGATGTGTGATGACGACTAGAAAGGCCCCTAATGGCAATTTTAAACTAGTTGGTTTGTTGTGTTGCCAGTGTTGACCTACGTAACTTAGTGGTGCTGTCGTATGAGGACTAGTCATTCACAGCTATGGAGCATTCTCGGTATTTCTCTAATACCCTAATAATATTCTAGAATACGCTACATCTCGACATCTGAATAGTCAGAGTTGTTTCGCAGTAAAACATGAATATTATTTGCATAAGAAATGTATAAAAAGCTCGACAAATATGTTGGCAAATCACATCTTTCTAAATAAAGTAAAAAGTAAAGTAACAGCCTTTAACAGGGTATCAGGGCATAGTCAACCATGCGACCCCACTGCGGATTGGCGGACTTCACATATTTTCGAAATATTTTTTTATGTTTTTATTATTCGAAAATATGCAGGTTTCCTCACGATGTTTTCCTTCACCGATAATTCAGCACTTGAAATTAAAAAGTTCATTGGTGGTGGCACCGGTGATCGAACTCATGGCGGTGAAATACGTGAAGGAAGTGGAGCAGACGCTCGGCAAGCACGGATATTAGGGGTTCTCGCGTATCCGCCTTCGAAAAGACGAAATTCAGAGGAAGAATAAATCTCACAGAGCTAACAGAAATAAATTGCCTTTCATTTGCCCACGAATTACCATTTTCGCCTTAATAATGACTCTCAGCAGAACTTTTTTGTTCACTCAGAATTACAGCTACTGTGAAACTTATTTTTGTATAGTGCTAATCTCTGCACAAGATTAAACATTAAAATTAAACATTATTAAAATTTGTAGAAAAAAATCGTAAAGTTTTTCACCGCTGTGGGAAACGAACCCACGTCTTTGAGATTCGCGCCCTGTCGCTTTAGCCACTAAGCTAAACGGCTATCGTTCGAAACATCGTCGTAAACGATATTCGAAACTGGAAAGGATTTTACAATGGATGCGCAAAGCATTGCTTCAAATGCTAAAAATCGCTGTAGATAAATGACGTTGATATTTTTTGTCGGTGTGGCGACCAGCTGTTTAGCTTAGTGGCTAAAGCGAGTTCGATTCCCACAGCGGCGAAAAACTTTTCGTACAAATTTTAATGTTCCGTGAAACGTCAATTTGGGGTGCAAGATGTGTGATGACGACTAGAAAGGCCCCTAATGGCAATTTTAAACTAGTTGGTTTCTTGTGTTGCCAGTGTTGACCTACGTAACTGAGTGGTGCTGTCGTATGAGGACTAGAGTCATTCACAGCTATGGAGCATTCTCGGTATTTCTCTAATACGCTAATAATATTATAGAATACGCTACACCTCGACATCTGAATAGTCAGAGTTGTTTCGCTTTAAGACATGAATGTTATTTGCATAAGAAATATATAAAAAGCTCGACAAATATGTTGGCAACTTGTCACATGTTTCTAAATAAAGTAAAAAGTAAAGTAACAGCCTTTAACAGGGTATCAGGGCATAGTCAACCATGCGACCCCACTGCGGATTGGCGGACTTCACATATTTTGAAATATTTCTTTTATTTATTATTTCGAAAATATGCAGGTTTCCTCACGATGTTTTCCTTCACCGATACGCACTTGATAATTCAGCACTTAAAATTAACAATTTCATTGGTGCTGGCACCGGGGATTGACCTCAATCCTTCTAAATAATGGTAGTTTTTCCTTTTAAGGCGGTGGCCCCACAAAGAAAAAAGAAATAGTCATAAAAATCTTTATTCATATACTCAATTTAATACAATGTCATCCCGAAGAAATTCCAAACAATCAGCCATATCATTAAAAATTGATTTCGGACAACAAAACACAAACATTCACAATAAACATCACACAACAGATAGTAAGTCTGTGTTTAGTACAAACATTTCAAATTGACCATTACCTATCTCATAAAAATAAAAATTATAAACTAACAATCATTATAAAGATGTGCTAACATTAATTAAATATATTAAGAATAAAGTAGTAGTGGATTAGTATCCAATTAGTATTAAAAAGTATACAATAATCTTCTTCTTCCCTCTATTGATGTTTTTTTGTTGTCCAACATATGTCGCAACATTGGTTAAAATTATTAAACATTTCTCTTATTTCTGACAATTGGTGCTTAGTTCGAAAAATAATCCCAAAAACACAGAAGGCATGTTATGCACACTCTTTTAAGGATTTATATAAGATATATTATCAAGATTACCATGCTCAGTATCAAGCATGGTCAAGTTTCATATACTTATATAAACATCTTAGATTTCAAGCAAGCTTTTGGTTTAAAAACACTTTTTTTATTAATAATGCATTAGGGGCTATTTTTAAAGTAACAAGCAAACAACTTCATCGCACTTTTACAGGTTTAAAATGTTGGTGACTGAAGTAGTAATTACTCATACTTTTCTCAAATATACTAGGGTACAGGATAGTTTAAACCACTTCACAATACTTTCTTTAAAAAATTTCAATGTCCCCTTACAGTAATACATGTTACAAGTACTAACCTAGTCTATTAGTAGAATATATTCAACTCATACAAACATACAAACCCATACAAACATTCTGTATTCTACAACTTCAGTGTTGTTAAGCTCATTTCACTATGGCCTTTTCACCAAGCTTAACAACTTTCTCCAAGTTCTCCTTCAGGGTCTTGAGCTGGTGCAGTACATTGTTGTCCATCAGGGAGAAGGGGATGTACGCTTGGGACTGGCGCAGCTGTTTCGGTTGCAGAGAGAGCATGGTGCCATCCTGCAGAAGTATGTTGCAGTTTGCTTTCTCGTCAGGCTGCATCCTGCAGTAATAATTAAATAATATATTATTTAATAGAATAGATATAAGAAGTAGAAGATCTATGGTGGCAAGGCTACGCAGCAGTCTCGGCTGTTGCACGAATGGGCAGGGCTCGTCCGGGTTAGTACCACGACCTCACAGAAGACTGGCGTGAAGTGGAAGTATAATACTTTCGTGATTTGTCTGGTGAGTGAGTCTCTTCTACTATCTTATTTGATTAGTTCTTGGGTATCTTAGGTAGTGCTATAATACTGCTGCGCTAGTAGTATAACATTAAAGGTCAACTTTTATGTATTGAGTTATGCTTCATCCCAAACTATATGTGTTCCGTGCAGGTATGCCGTTTTGATTTTTAAACATTAATCAATTTATAATAAATTACTACTCAGTTTATAATACGTAAATAATACAACAAAAAACTGTATTTCCAATTTTAATTATTTTCGCAAAGAATAAAATCTTCACATCTCACAGCCTTTCGAATGGCCACTTATCCAAGTATAGTCACTTATCCAAGTTTTTTTTTGTGCATACCCATGTTGACTATACAGCGTGTCGTTACCGTCGCGACAATAAATGAACACAAATAGGGGATAACTTTTTAAAGTTGTATTAAACGTTTAAATTCTTTAAACATCAATATTTACAGAATTATTAAATTTTCCAAAACAAAGAATTTTACAACACTCTTTCTTACCTATAAAAGCGTAACGTAAAGTTCATACTGTTAGAAGGAGAGGCTTGTAATACGACGCCATGGCGTGAGTTGTATAGGATGTTACAAATTTTGTTTCTTTTTTACTTAATTAGTTTGTTTGAAAAATATTTTTTTTTAATTATGGAATTTGTTTAACGTTAATATTTTTTTATGATTATTGGCAAGTAGCGTTAGACGTGTGTTCATTTATTGTCGCGATGGTAACGACACGCTGTATATTATACTGCGACCCAAACGGGCTTCGCACGGGTGCAACGCTCAATGTTCGTTTTCGACCTCGCATTAGAAACCTCTAAAATTACCAGTGCTCCTCTACTAAATTAGGCACGAATCATACATATGGAAAAGGAATCATACATACGTAAGGAAACCGCATTAAAATCCGTTGCGTACTTTTAAAGATCTAAGCATATATAGGGACAGACAGACAGAGGGATGACTTTGTTTTACACTATGTAGTGATAATCCATGGTTTGTAGCACTAACGTGTAGCATGAGGGCACCATAACTGGCGAGCCGGACATGGAAAGCACCATCTCGCCTTGGCGCGGTCGCCTCAGCACTGTCAGGGGAGTGTGTGGCGTCACCTGGAATCAACAAGACTGCTAGAGAGGAAGTTGCAATTTTTCCAGTTTAAAAATTCTTTTACCAATTATGTATCCGCTATACCACTAAGAATATTGTGGCAGAATTTTTTTAAAGAGGCTCATATCATTACGTGGTATATTACGTAAGCGAACTTCGTTGTTTCTGATTGCACTGGCAAGCAATGTTTTTTTTTTTTTTTGAGAAAGGGGCAAACGAGCTGACGGTTCGCTTGATGTAAAGTGATAACTGCCGCCCATGGACATTTGCAACACCCGCAGTGTTGCAAATGCGTTGCATCTTTGAATAAAGTGGGCCCCGGCTACCTCACTCATCAGACGAAACGCAGAAACTTCTTCTTTACGCCGGTCTTTTGTGAGGTCGGGTAAGTACCCGGACGGACGTGCTGTTGCGGTGCGGAAGTGACATGGATACGGCACAGTTCCGACACGGACGCGGGACAGTTCCAGCACGGGTGCGACACGGATACGGCACAGTTCCAGCACGGATGCGACACGTATACGGCACAGTTCCAGCACGGATGCGACACGTATACGGCACAGTTCCAGCACGGATGCGACACGTATACGGCACAGTTCAGCGCGGATGCGACACGGATGCGGGACAGTTCCAGCGCGGATGCGACACGGATTGACAGGGGCGGCCGCACCTTGGGCGTGATGACGGGGAAGTTGACGGCGGCGTTCTTGTTGTAGGCCGGCGTGCGGTAGACGGAGCGCGAGCGGCGCCGCTGCGGCTTGCACGAGGCGGGCGCGCGGCCCGCGTCCGCCGAGCGGGAGCGCCGCCCGCCGCACGGCGCCCGCCCGGAGCTGCTCGGGGGCCCTTCGTGTCCGGGGAAAATATATATTCGTTTAAATCTTCATGCTACTCTAGTGCTGTGGCGGCACTTCTCTGGTGGGATCGGGTCACACAAGAGACAGCAAATGCTGCTGGCCTCATGAAAATCGTGTTTAAAAGTTTGATGAAGTAAGGTGAAAATGTAAAGTAACAAGTACAAGCCAATACAAGTCCCCCTGCCGGGCAAAGGCCTCCTCTGTACAGAGGGTATCAGAACATAGTCTACCACGAGGCCCCACTGCGGATTGGCGGACTTCACATATCATTGAAATATTTTTTTTCTTTTTTGACTTCACATATATCGCGCACAAACAGCGGAAGTCAATCCATCAACCGATTTGATAATACACACATATAGATTTTTACAATGTTTTATAAAAAAACAAATTATTTCATTACAAAGATTAATAATTTCTGCAATGTGATTACATGAGTACAGAGGCATGTAATAATAACTTGAATATACTAAAATCTTAGTACATATTAAAAGACCTAAAGCAATTGCCTACGAAATAATAACTTGAATGTCACTAAAATCTTAGTATATATTAAAAGACCTAAACAATTGCCAAGTGATTGAAAGCTAAACACACCTAAAAAAATATGAAATGACATAATTATTAATCTAGAATAAATATTAATCTAGAAAGTTAACAATTGAAAATACTCCACAACCGATGAGATATGATGAAGAGAGACCAGTATGTAAAAGTGAAGCATAGCAAGCTCTCACCTGGAGTCTTCTTGGCGCCCCTGCCTCCAGAGCCCTGCGTCGAGCCCTCGGTGAGGTAGCCTGCCCCAAAAAGCCCGGTTAGTCGGAAATCTTAGAGCTGTGGCATTGTTAGTTCGAATGATGATTGGCAGTGCGATTTGATGGTAAGGAATGGAGTTTAATGTAATTAAACCTCTACAAAAGCTAGTACATTTGACACAATGAAGATTAAATGAAAAAGAAAATAAGTTCTTATGAACAACAAAGAATTTGACTAGATGTAATTGCCAATTTTTCTTCCACTACAATAGTGTATCTTATATATATAATCATAATCATTGATCATGATATATAGTATGGCAGAATACAACCAATTAAATAACTGAAAATTCATAAGCAATCTAAACACAGATGATGCATTACACCAAATGAGGGTGTGAGGATATGTTAGCCTTTAATTAAAGAGACATACCATCATCATGAGAGGCGGCACGGCTTGAATTACGTTTGGTAGACCTTTGTGTTGAATTTGTCACCTCTTTAAGAGGCAGCTCAGTTTTCTAAAATCAAAATTCTAACAATTAAGGATTGCACTTGTTTAGTACATGTAAATTATATACTGCTATTTCTCGTAGTACATAATTTATATATTTAGTAGAAATTAGTTAAAGCTTGATATTCCAAAGGTTTGAATGTATATTTTGTCAAAGGAACTGAAAGAGTATGTCAGCAAAAGCTAGTAAAGAACGTAAAGTGCTGGTTTACTATGTTCACGGTGAAGGAAAACTTCACATACAAACATGCCTATTTGAAAAATCATCAAAAATTTTATGTTGAAAATATGAGAAATAGGCATGGATGTTCAACCTAATTTATTTTAATCTATAAGTAATGTTTAATAGTCTATCACAATACTAACAAAGTAAATGAGTTCTTTTTTAAAATTATTGTTAAAATTAATTTTGTATGTAACATTAAAGCAGATTTCCTTAGTGTGTTGAGAGTTTTAATTATTTTGTTCTCAAATTAAAATGACTACGAATACTAATATTTTATAATTATTGGTTATTTATGTTTCTCGACCTCATTTGACTTTTTTAGTCTAATATTAGAGACAATTGATATCAATTAAAAATATTTATGTGCATATGAAAAACCAACATACAGCTATTATAACAATATATTATATAATAGCTATTATAATAATATGTAAACAATTACCAAATACTTCAGTGTTGAAACTCATGTGACAAAACATAGATTTATACTACATTATAATCTAGGTTGTTATTGTGAACATGACCTATTTGGAGAAGGATCAAAAAAAAATTTTGCACTTACCAATTGACCAATTGTTTTCTGCAAGTATGTGTTACTAATGGAACCAAGCAGTATTTTGAATGCCAATTCAACGTTTCTCAGTTCCATGCGGGCCCGGGAATCTATCTTATTCTTCTGGTCAGCAACTGCAGTGTCAAATCGAAGTTTAAATTTATAACAGCTTATTTAATTATTCATTCCAGAGGGAGAGGATTTGTAAGAATGTAATTACAACCTTCTGGTATTGATTTAAAATGACAAATTATTACAGAACTATTACAAATACGATATAGTATACACTTAAAAGTTTGGTAGCATAGTGAATGTAAACTCCTTAAATAAGTTACATACAACTTATTTTCGCAAAAGCCATATTCATACAATCATTACCTAGTTTGTTTAATTTCTTCAAGGTATCGTCATCGTCAGCCGCTTTTTCTTGTTTTTTAACAGGTCGTTTAGTTCTAGGCATGATGATAGATAAACAAAAACAGTTCCCGAATAGACTTAATAATTATCTTGCGTTATTTAAATGAAACAAACACAGTCGTCAGAAAGATTAGATATTCCTATTAGTGTACTAAGAGATCTCGTTTTATTACTATATCATTTAATTCGCAATTTAAAAAATTCAAATCAAACTATCAAAGAATCAAACCAAACCGACATTTTTGATTTTGAATTTCTATCGTTCGGATAGATTGCACGTACTCTATTTACTATAATTATGTTTATAAACTCTTTAAACCATGTTTTAAATTTTAAATTAACAAAATATTGTTTTATAAAAAATAGTGAACACAATTCATTCATATAAAAAGAATTTAAAACAAATGATATTAATCTTGAAACAATTTGCAAAATATATGAGAACTTGTTATTATTTTAATTTTTGAAATACATATTAAGATCAGAATTAATTATAATAGATATCTCATGATTAAATATAAAGTACTAAATTAAATGAATTCAACTAAATCTTTACTAATAATTTCATTCCAAGCTCTGCTATTGATGGATGGAAAAAAGAAGTGGCAGTAGTGCATTGTTATGATGAATGAAGAATGGCGGACGCTGTCATAGTGGGATATTTGTTCACATTTTTATTAATAAACGCTTGCCATGGTGAGTATTTACGATATTTTCCATCTCAAACGTTTAATAACTGTGTAAAACGTATTGTGCATAAATTGTAAAAGTTTAGTAACATTTGCTTGAACGAAAACGTTAATGGCATCTTTACGTACTCTTATATCCCATATTTTATTATTGTTTTTCAATGTGACGCATTATTTTAATGTTCTATTTCACATCTGTTATACAAATAATGTGACAAAAGTTATTGGCAATCGTGTGGATGTTCATAGAATTTCAATTAAATGTTGTATAATTAATAAGTGTTCACCGAATTGAGATCAAAACATTGGTGACCTCCAAACAATCCTACATAAATATTTTATATGCTCAAAACGGTGAATTATTTTTGATACAGTCAAGGCTTCGTGCCTAATAAACGAGTTTGTTTGGAATCTTCAATTCGCGCAAATATTATTCTCTGCTCTCAACGCGTATAGTTTCTCGTATTTTAGAATAAATGAGTTGTAAAACCACAATGTTTATAATAAATAATTTAATAATAAAATAAGGAAGAGCAATAATACATCTTTTTAACAAAATTTATACTAGATGATTTGATAATATAGCAAATAAAACAAAGTCAAATCTACAAATCATAGGAGGTAGAATGAGGTACTTAACATATTAAGGTCATTTAGTCCCAATAATTTGTCTCGTCAGCATACAATTATCACAAATCTGTGATAACAATTCTTACACAAAAAAACCATAACATAAGCTTGTGATGCCTACCACTTGGCTTTGATGAGCATTTCAAGCCCTCTGTTTTATTTATGATACATTTACAGATTATATGATACATTTAGATATTCATTTTCAGATCTTACATGCAAAGTTCATCATCTTTTACTGTAAAAGATACAAATAGGTATGATGATGCATGTCAGCCTGTTTGAGTCCACTGCTGACCATATACATAGGCCTCCTCCATAGACTATAGACAGAATAATAGATGCAATCGGTAAAAGTTTGTTATAAATGGTTATATGAATTAATCCTTGGATCTACAAACAGGCATTGTGTACCAAATTTGTCTTCTTTACAAAAACACACATATTTTAATTTGATGTTAAGCAAATAGAGGCTTATCACTCCTTTGCTGTACATGTCATGATTAATTAGACTGCCAATATATTATCTATTCGTAAATATTAATGAAAAGTAAAGGATTCGGTAGTTGCTATCTATAATAGACTCGTCAAATAATCAACAATAATACCCTAAAAGTATGATGAATAAATATATATGTAATATATATTGATTGATTATAATTTTTAAATATCGATGTGGTAATTTTTAAATATCCACTGCCTTTACAAGTGTATTAAATAAACAAGGGATATGGTCCAGTATTGAAAATTAGGTCGAGTACCAATATCCATAGTAGAATTTTTATTGTGATATCTTGAATTGAAAGATAAGGTCAATTAATTGTTTATTTATTAATTTAACTAAATACTTTTGCTGATGATCAAACCTCCTTAATAAGACATCCTTATAGAATCAAGATACCTGTAATTCAAACAGCAAAGTTGCTTAACTGTTCAACATATTGGTTTAAGTTAAGGTTAGTAAAATTAATCAGTACAGTAAAAATACGTATTTGAAGTTATTGCAAAAAGATTAGTTCATATTCTCCATACCAGTAAAAACTGTATGATGTTAGGCACAATTCCATTTCTCTTAGCGCAACAAAAATACAGTATAAGCAATATTTTACGAAGCTACTTTAGACAGTATAATTATTATTTCATGGTGAATCTTTAAAAAGTAACAGATTTAATATAATTGTAGTTATAAAGCAATAGATTTGGGATAGACACTTATGGGTTTGTATTTGTAATATTTATTTGTAAAACACAATGTTTTTTCTCTTTTGCAGCTGGTTTGCCAGATTTTGACAATTCTGACCCTGATGGCTCCCCAAGCACCCAGTCTGACAATCGTCTTATGGATGACCCATTCTCCATTGAAAAGATGATGGTACAACATCCGAGGTATGTATATTGTAGTGATATACAAATAAACAAACATAACTAATCTATGCCATAACAAAATACACCTAGGGCTTACAAAATTTTTTATTAATTTTTATGTTAAATGGTAATTGTACTTTTTATGCATATTTTTTTACATATTAATTAGTACAATATCACATATGTTGGTCATATAATGTAATTTTCTTTTTAGCAAAATGATGGTATGCACTAAAAATTATTAATATGTTTAAAACTATATTTTGTAAGTTGTAAGTAAAATTTGTGTGACTTTATCTATTTTCTAGTATGTCTGCAATTTATGATTACATGTACTTTTTTTACTTCTTGCATCACTCAGGAGAAGGAAATTTCAAAAAAGGTATCAATAATTCTACTTATGTTTTATTTCCCCTATTTTCTAAAAAAAGAACCGGGTGATCTTAAGTGAAATCATTGCAAAAACAATTCTAGGTAAACTGATATTATGTTATTAAACTAATATATTTTGGGTTGAAGTATCTAAAGAATAATTTAAATAAGCTCTGTTAAATTTGTCTTTTTCCACCACATTAGGATCAGTGCTTTTTGCATATAGGGACATATGGAAAACATTAAGCTACTAAATATTTAATATGATTTATCAATATTGAGGATGGTTCAATAGTGCCGTTACTAAGTTATTGTCTTCGTTGCGAGAGTCGTGGGCTCGATTCCCACATGGGACAAGTATTGGTGCGACTTGTCTCTTGCCTAATGTTACCGTGTCATATTTAAAAAAAGAATGTGTATTTGACTGCAGAGCTGCTTACTGGCTCATTTGGATAGGTCTATGAGTCAATGCTGGTCTTTCATAGCCGTTGTCGCTGACAGTTGCGTGTCCAATTCCAGGTATAAGTGTCACCAGTGCGAGCCTCCGGACTGCGGATCGGCGGAGCCTCCCGCCGTCTGCGGCGATGCCCTCTACTGCTTCAAGTCCTCGGTGAGGGCCTCCGATGGCACCCTGAGACATTCGCGCGGTTGCTCCACAAGGCGCGACCACGCCCAGTTCACCTGCCGCACCAACCAGCCGCCTTTGGGGTGAGGACCTTCCACATATCACATCCAAGCTGCTTAATAGTCTCTGTTTCTTTTTTTAAGGTCTCTCTGCCAGAACTCTGCTTTACTCTATGTTGTATTGTATTTTTAACCGACGTCAAAAAAGGAGGAGGTTGTCAATTCGACAGTATTTTTTTTGTATGTTTGTTACCTCAGAGCTTTCGACTGAGTGAGCCGATTTTGGTGATTCTTTTTTTTTTCCGAAAGCTGATGCTTCCCATGTGGTCCCATATTATTTTCATTGGTATTATATCTTGGGCTCCAGAGATACTTGGGGCGCTCCTGAGAATCAATTATAAAGTGAATACAGAGATATTTGAAGTCGGTTTTGTTTTTTTGTTAATAAAAATATGGACTTGTTATTTTGTGAGAAAGGGGTTGGGTAGTAAGTACCAACAACCACTGCCACCTAGAAGATCTCTTGTAGTCTTCCCTTCTGAAACATTGTCCCCTTACTGTAGTATAACATTATCCTGTGTTGTAAGAATGTTTTACATATATAAATTTCATTGTACAAAGACAAAGATACGAAGCAATTATCTTTGGGTCACACAAATGTCGTCTTGTGTGGGAACCAAACCCTTTTCAAGTAGTCAACAGCTTTATTCTAGACAGCCTATGTCCCTAAAAAGTCTTACCTTACCAACATCTCCAACAGACCATCGATAACGCTATACCCCGTCAACCTTCACCAAGAGCTCTTCCTTCCCCCACTGCCCATACGGCACCTGCCCTTTTACTAACGGCCCCGCTCTACCGCAGGCTGCGCAAGCGGCACGCCGGCCAGCTGAACATCACGTGCTGCCGTGGAGATTTGTGCAACGAGGGCGCGTTCCCCGAGCTGCCGCCGGCCGAGGAGGCGGCCGTGGAGCCGGTGCCGGGGCGCGCGTGGCGCCTCTGGGCGAGCGTGGCGGCGGCCGCGCTGGCCGTGGCCGCGGCGGCCGCCATCGCGGTCTTCGTGCTGCGCAGGAGCCACAGGTGGGTGCTGCTGCTGGTCTGTGTTGGGTGGTGGCGCGGAACTGCAGTCGAAGACTGCTGCACGAATGGGCAGGTCCGTCCGGGGAAGACGGGTGTAGAGTGGAAGTTTTGTACTTTCACTGTTAATGATAAGTGAGGTAATCGGGCCCACTTTTGTTTCGGGTTGCAAGCTTCAAGTGTGGTTCTGCAGGCCGTCAAGTGCTGGGTATTTACTTAATACCAGGTGAACCCCACGCTCTCTTGAGAACTGTTCACATAAAAAAAGTGTGTCCGATATAAATTTAAATTGTTTATAGTGCTAATCTTTGCACTTAAGATTGAACATTAAAATATGTAGAAAAAGTGCGAAAAGATTGTCGCCGCTGTGGGAATCGAACCCACGTCTTCGGCATTCGCGGCCTGACGCTCTAGCCACTGAGCTAAACGGCTGATTACCACACCGACGAAAATCTTAACGCATTCTTCCACATTGTTTTCTTAGCATTTGAAGCAATGCTTGGCGCCATCTATTGTTATATCCTTTCCAGCATACAAACAATTTCGAATATCGTTTTACAACGATAATTCGAACGAGAGATGTCGCCAAGCATTGCTTCAAATGCTAAGAAAACAATGTGGAAGAATGCGTTAAGATTTTCGTCGGTGTGGTAATCAGCCGTTTAGCTCAGTGGCTAGAGCGTCAGGCCGCGAATGCCGAAGACGTGGGTTCGATTCCCACAGCGGCGACAATCTTTTCGCACTTTTTCTACATATTTTAATGTGTCCGATATTCTGAACACTGGCGTATCGATGCATCTAAATCCTGCTCTGTTTACTTTGGAATTGTACTCTAAAGTGTTTTAGAAGGAAGAGTGTAAAAACCTGATGGCTCTAATTTCGGACTCGCGTTCGAACTTGATTAGCTACGAATGGACTTCAGAGTCGATTCTCACCGCTTCTAGGCATGTGATGCTGCTTAAGTATAGTCTATCAAACTTATCATTTCCACTGGGTCTGTGCCTCGTAAAACTAAATAGTCCACATACTTAAAACTTAAACACCAACTAACAAAAAGCAATAAGTAATAAATGGTGTGTACCAACCATTCTTACACATCTGTGTGCACATATAAAACTGTCCTGCCACATTTGGGAATAAGGTTCCTGATTGTTAACATTTTTGTATTCAACAAGTCAGTACAACCATTAGCATCCTCTTGCCCATATCCCACCTAGGCGGGATCGGCACATTATGTGAATTATGTTGTAAGCGGTTTTGGCTATATAATTTTTCGATCGGCCGCTTGCCTGACGTCAACCCTCCTTGGGAAACAAACACCCAGATCTAGAACAATTATCTGTGGGTCACACAAATACTTGTCCCATGTGGGAATCGAACCCACGACCCCTACTATTACCCACGAGCAACGGCGCCACCGACTACTACCAACCGACCCATACCCACCACGAAACAACTAACACTATAAGTAAATATATTTTATTTTCAGGCTGCGGGTATCCAGGGCAGCACTCCACAAGTTGGGACCAGACTCCAATTATTTTTCTAGCAATATATACGGCCCCCACGTGACGAGCGCATGCTATGAAGGTGAGGAATCGACTGACAAAACTGCCAAATTGTCTAGTCTGATGGTGCGAGGTTACTAATTAAGCCTTTTGCATTTTTACGTTTACGTTTGGAGATGAATACCGCTCACACACAAGCTCATTGTAAAGTGCAGATAATATGTACGCACACACAGAATGTGTCACATAATTATCTTAAGCGCTTCATCCCACGGAGAACCTGTTAATTCAAAAATGTATCAAAAATCTTTTAATTTTTTTTTTAAATATTGCCCTATAAATAAGTCCTTAGTCGTAGTTCCCAATTACCACTGCGACCTAGAAGATCTATTGTAGTCTTCCCTTCATAAATGTTGCCTGTTACTTTAGGATAACATTATTCTGTGTTGTAAGGACATTTTACAAACATAAATTTCACATGGATAAACACCCAGATGCAAACAACTATCTGTGGGTACACAAATATTTGTCCCGTGTGGGAACGAACCACGACCCCCGAAGCCGAAGCCCAATCCCACGGAGAACCTCAAAAATTTATCAAAAATCTTTTAATTTTTTTTTAAATATTGCCCTATAAGTAAGTCCTTAGTCGTAGTTCCCAATTACCACTGCGACCTAGAAGATCTATTGTAGTCTTCCCTTCATAAATGTTGCCTGTTAATTTAGGATAACATTATCCTGTGTTGTAAGGACATTTTACAAACATAAATTTCACATGGATAAACACCCAGATGCAAACAACTATCTGTGGGTCACACAAATATTTGTCCCGTGTGGGAATCGAACCCACGACCCCCGAAGCCGAAGCCAATATCTCGGCAACTGCGCCAGGGAGTAATGAATGCAACATAATGATTGCCATTTTAATCTGTTGGTTTTTTTTTTTTGCTTTTATTATTACTATTTTCATTTTAAATTATTATTAAATTTTAATTTATATCATTGTTTTAATTTCCAGGCCTCGAAGGTTCACAAAATGGTGGTGGGCTGAAAGCGGTCGCGGCCGGGGACTCGACCTTAAGGGAATATCTAGAGTGCTCAGTGACCAGCGGCTCGGGCTCCGGACTCCCCCTGATGGTTCAAAGGACATTGGCCAAACAAGTCACTCTCATCGAATGCGTTGGAAAGGTATAGAGTTTACACAACGCAAATCAAATCCAATTAATTCGGGTAAAGGGAGGCATTTGAAGTCCTGACTTGGTTTATATGCAGAAAAATTTTGCTGCGAATATCTCACAAAGCTTTATAATTACATAAATATGATTTAACTCGAAACAACAGATGCTAAGACCATACAAAAAAGCCACTTCTTGCAAAAACTAGTGTGATGATTAACTTTACAAACTTATAAATGTTTAATAGTAAACATCTCACTTACCCTCAGGTGAATCACCAACTTTTTTTCCGCAAAGAGTCCCAACAGCCACTGCGATCTATAACACGTACTGCAGTAAATTCTTACTTTAACACTGGGCCTAATAAGTGCACACATGCCAGATGGTAGGGCCACGCAGCAGCCTCGGCTGTTGCACGAATGGGCAGGCTCGTGCGAGTAAGTACCACAACCTCACTGAAGACCGGCGGAAAGTAGAAAGTAGAAGTATAATACTTTCGCGTTTCGTCTGGTGAGTGAGGTAGCCGGAGCCCAATTTCCAGAAAGGTTGTCGACACATCTGCAAACCCTCGGGTGTAGCGGATGTCCATGGCCTGCTCTGCTCGCTTGACAACTTTTCACATAAAAAAAAGATCGGAAGGAAAGTTCCTCATTGTAATGCTGTCCACCGCAGGGCCGGTACGGCGAGGTGTGGCGCGGCTCGTGGTGCGCGGACAGCGTGGCGGTGAAGATCTTCTTCTCCAGGGACGAGGCCTCGTGGCGGCGGGAGACCGAGGTGTACAGCACCGTCCTGCTGCGCCACGACAACATTCTCGCCTACATCGGCAGCGACATGACCAGCCGCAACAGTTGCACGCAGGTGGGGGTCCATCCAAAAATTAGCATCCACTGTTATTCATTTGCATATACCATTTAGTATAGGGGTCGTCCGTTAGTCACGTGATGTGTTTTAGCATCTTCCCCCCCCCCTTGGTGATACGTATTCTTTAGTACCTACGAAGAATCTCAAATTTTTAGAATATTAACTTTAAATACAGGTATAAATTATAGTCCGTATTAAGGACCGTGATGAGAAGCCACATGTCGTCGAAAAAATAAATACACGTGTTATCTTACTACACCCGCCCCCCCCTCTTCTTGTGATATTTCATGGTTTTTGTCAAACCCCCTCCCCCCCTTTCATGCCTCACTTGGTTAATGGACGATCCCATGTATGCATGAAAATTTTGCGTACATGGGATCTTATAAAATTGGTGATTTACTAACTTCTTTACACTTCAATAATGTTCCGCAGCTGTGGCTGATCACGCACTTCCACCCTCTGGGTTCTCTATACGAGCACCTCAACCGGACAACCCTCACCAGGCACCAGATGATGGTCATCTGTCTATCGACCGTTAATGGTCTCCTGCATCTGCACACAGACATACATGGCACACAGGTGGGTCAACAATTTGTGAGTATTCGGCCACAAGTAGCAGCCAACTTACACTCAACTGTTCAGCACACACCTTTCAATGCTCATTTGAAACTCTTGATTGAAATGAATGCTTGATTATTATTTTATTTCATACACCAAGAAAATATTTATACAATAGAATAGTTTTAAATTTTTTATGAAGATGGCCAGCAAGCCGGCTGTTCACCTGTTAAGTGATAAACATCGCCCACGGGCAACACGCAATGTAGGGTTAAAAATGCGTTGGCCCCTTTTAATAAAGTGGGCATGCAGATGCATAACGCTTTCACTTCACGGCCAAACTACCTCCTGTTCGGTAAACTAGACCTGTCCAGGCAAGAAACTCTGCGGTCTTAACTTTTTTTTCCTTATTAACTTAATACATCTATCTAGAAACGATTTCCTGGTTTTAGTTAATCGAAACCTCGGTATTTCCAACGTGTCGCCATGGCACCAACGTGATGTGGTATGTTTTTTTTTGTAAAAAGGTGTATGTTATACAGTTGTAGAATGGGAGGCCTTATTACTAAGAGCAGTTTCTTCTATGCAATCTTCGAAAGGATGTGTTCAGTTTGTCACAACGCGTGATAACGTCATCCCACAGTAAGGGGATGTTATGCGAAGGGAAGACCACAACAGATCTTGCTCTCCGTTCACTCAAAACAATACAACTTGTGGCACAGGGCAAGCCGGCCATCGCTCACCGGGACATCAAGAGCAAGAACATCCTGGTGAAGGCCAACGGGGAGTGCTGCATAGCCGACTTCGGCCTGGCGGTGACCAGGCAGCACGTGCAGTGCCAGCGGCCGCTCAACCCCCGCCAGGGCACCAAGCGCTACATGAGCCCAGAGATGCTCGATCAAAGGTGAGACCGGACAGTTACAGCGAGGATCAAAATATTTCCATTGCACCACAAAAAGGAAACATTGAGGACCAATATATATTGCCACTATCACTAAATAGTATAAAAAAAAGTCGCCCCGCTGTCCGTCTGTCCCTACGTATGCTTAGATCTTTAAAACTACGCAACGTATCTTGATGCAGTTTAAATGTGTAATAAATTGCACCCGTGCGAAGCCGGGGCGGATCTCTAGTATACCATAAAGAACAATATATTTGGAATTGACGGTCCAAGTGCTTAGTAAACGTTTCTCTTGTGCCATTGGTTGTGGGTTCATAATATTGTGTGAGGTACTTACTTCCATTGTATCAATGTTTATATCTATAGATACTATTTATTTACAAAACAAAAGTTCGTTTATCACTTATTTAGTATCCATAGTCGTCGGCATGAACGTATAGTGATTTGATGAGCTTCCAGATCCAGCCCGTCACGGAATTTTATACTAACTCTCTCCAGCATGAACTTGTAGTGCTCCGATGAGTTTCCAGGCCCATTGACACATTACCAAGCCACATCTAATCTTATAATGCCCCATTAACATGTTACGAAGCCGTACTCCTGTATCCAGCCTATCATCAGACCTTCACCAGACCGCTTTCTCCTGCATAAACCTGCAGTACTACAATGAGCTTCCTGACCCATTAACAAACTACCCTCCCCAGCAGAACCTGCACAGCTTCCCGGGCCATAGACAGGTCATATCGAACCCTGGCCAATTGGCACGTCACGCAGCCGTTCTGTGTATCCGGAGCTTACACCAAGCCGCTTTCTCCAGCATGAACCTGCAGTGTTTCGACGCGTACCGCAAGTGCGACGTGTACGCGCTGGCGCTGGTGCTGTGGGAGGTGGCGTGCGCCGCTTCCAGGTCGAGGAGGGACTACCGCCCCCCCTACCACGACTTGGCCCCTTCGGACCCTGGCTTCGAGGACATGCGCAAGGTGGTCTGCGTGGACGGGGCACGTCCGGACCCACCGCCGGACGACCACCCGGTTAGTCTTTTTGTTGCGACGCCTTTGGGCCACGCAACTGTGTTGCACGAATGGGCAGGTGCGTCCGTGGTAAAGCAATAACGCTTACACCAATTGAAGCTCCTTTTAAGCGATAACGGCCTTTGTTGTGTAAAAATAAAGTAGAGTAATAAAGTAGAGCCCAGACATGTCCCTCTGCTGGGCAAACGCCTCCTCTGTAGTAACCTAACGTTATCTTCGAAATGTTTTTTTTGCTATCATTTCTAAAATATGCAGGTTTCAGCAGGAGACACAGAGAACATGATAAGACAGCACAAAAAATTAACAATTTCATTGATGCCGGCACTGGGGATCGAACTCAGGTTGCTAAAGTATATTGAATTAAAGGCGAGCGCCCGGATACTGAGCCATCACAGCTCTTTTTGTTGTGTATGGAATATTATTTTATTAAAAGTTGCCTCTGTTTTCTAAATTAATAAGTAGATAGTTGACCCGTGCGAAATTTTGTACAGTATCGCAAAGTAAGAATTAACTGTGGTAGGGCCACGAAACAGTTTTCACTGTTGCACGAATGGGCAGGTCAGTCCGGGTAATTACCACGACCTCACAAAAGACCGGCGTAAAGCAGAACTTCTGCGTTTCGTCTGGTGAGTGAGGTAGCCGGTGCCCACTTTATTTAAAGGTGGCAACGCATTTGCAACCCCATGAGTGTTGCAAATGTCCAGGGGCGGCGTTATTTACTAACGTTAACGTTAACATCAGGTGAACCACCAGCTCGTTTGACACTTTCTCGCATAAGAAAAAAATCAATGAAAGATATTCGGATGGTCGGGCCACGTAGGCCATTCGTGCAACAAACACAAGAATGGAAAGATTAAAACTGTTTGAGTTTGTTGCTTTTAAATAACGAAATCAAATATCTTTTATTAAATGTGACATTTTCATATCTTCTTCTAGACTATGATCGGTATGGCAAAACTCATGCAGGAGTGTTGGCACCAAAACGCTTCCGTGCGCCTCCCAGCGCTCCGGATAAAGAAAACTCTGCTGAAACTGGCCGCAAACGACAACTCCATACATCTGAATGAAGACAATGAGGTCTCCGTCTGAATCGGTGACAAGTGTTTAGTGTAGTGTAAATTGTTTATGCCTGGATGCCTAAATGTTGTCCGTTATCAGTGACCAACGCTTACAAACCGGAATGGCACATAAAGGTAAGTAGAAAAATGTATTGTTTTGTACAGTAGGAGTATGATTAAGAATGTTTTTGAGTATGAGCTAACAATTTGAATCCATATTGTTCGAAGACATGTTCTTACATGTGTTACAGCGGGTTAAAAGATTGTTGATAAACATTCTGCAGTCGTTTATTTAATTCAGATTAAAACAGATGTCATAAATTGTTGTTGGGTGCTTCATCCTCTTGAGACTCTATGAATAAATTATATGGCTCTAAAATTGACATTGTTCAATTAAAACGCTGTATAAAGTTGATTAAGCATTTTATTTTTCAAAGCATCCCAAAGCAATATAGACTATCTATATTTTGCAGAATTTGTCCTAGAGTTATTGAGCTTTATCAATATATGCACCCAAAATAGTACCATATTAGTATTACAATATATTTAAGACTATCAAATGTTTTGAGTTCATCTATACATCAAGTATATCTTGAGGATGTACCTTTTAAACTTGTTATTGTAACTAAAAGTTGAGGTTTCGCCACAGGCAGTTTTCACACTTTGTTTTGCTATAATTTTTCACTCTGGTATGCTGACAAGCTATACAGATTCTTTAACACAAAATCGTTTTGCAGGCTTTCGCTAATTTCAAATCGTCTACAACCTTATTTAGTTATTATCTCTAGATTAAGAGAGTTGAGTAATCACTGTGTTAACTTTTCAAAATGACTTCTATAATGCAGAATTGAGTTTCACATTTCGTCTTACACCAGTTTTACACCCCCAATGAACTTTATAAGGAATATCGCTACACCCCCATTAATAATGAATATTGCTCCAAATACGTCTACCTATTTATTGTATACGCACTTGTTTGTTGCAAAGCCAGTTTAAAACCAGTTAAGCGCTACATCTTTAATTGAATCTCATTTTTTTCCGTTTACCATGCAATTTGCTGCATGCCTTGTATTTGCATGTTCATGATATCCTTCCGCTTATTTAACCAGTTTTATGCTGTATTTAAATAACTTGAGTCCATTGTAATTCCTTCAGCAAACAAAATTAAAAGCTCTAATGCTTTATGCTGTCATGAAAGCTGCGAAACTTGTGTGTACGCTTCTACGGTGTAGTCTATCATTTTTGCCATTCTATCGACTATTTAGAGGATAGTTAAACGTTTCTCCCTAAAGCCAAATTGATAATTAGGATTCAGGTCTCTCATCTGATATCGATTTCAGAATTTCATTTTACAAGACTGTACTGATACTATAGGTAGCAAAGGAAATTGCCAGGTATTTGGAATTTTAAGTTTGATTTTTGCAATAATTTACAAATCTATCCATATTGAATAATTTCTGATTAGCTTTGTCTCCCGTTATGGGTAACACGATGTCAATATAGAATGTTGATGATGAATTCCTTACATAAAATTATTATAGTTCGGAAATTTCTTATGTTAGACCAATTATGCGTCAATATCTGTCCTGATCAATATTGTATTCACAAGTGAATGTTAATTTAATTATTGATTAGTGCATTGTAAATATTTTGTATATACACTGATGTATGTTTTTATTTTTTTTTTAAGAAAACTATTTTTTTGATTTCTCGGAGAACAAAATATAAACTAATTTTGTATATTAAATATTAATAGCATTTATTCTTTAACATAAGTATTGCCATAACTGTTTAGGAAACTACCACACTTGAAAGTAAACGTGTTATTCGCCTGGTGGTGATTATTGAACATTACATAAGTAAAATTGTCACACTGTATAAAATATTGTATATACACATAGCGATAGGGTAGAACCTTAATCTGGTTATATGCAGTCTGTTATAATTATCATATTATAAATGATATAGTTAACCAGTGCCTAAGTGACAACTTGCATTCTTCAAGAGAATGCTCACTCATATTCCCACATAATTGTATTATCAACATAACCCTTCTGTTTTTATTATATTTTGCTAACAGTGCAACTTTTTCAAAGAAGCTTGGCGTTTTCCATGTTTGATTTAACCCACCGCTATAGATATAATGATATGCAAACTTGTACTCAAATATGTTTAAAATAGCGTACCGCATCAAAATGTTATGTATTAATATTGTCACAGGTTGTTGATAAATTTTAGATTATGATTCAGAGATATTTGATGATTGCTTCGATCCAAGGTTCATTTTCAATAAGTTTATCTAGTTGTATGACTAAATTGCATCAACTTGCTCGCAAAAGGAGGTAATGGTTCTTATTGCCACCTCTCACTACCAGGCATTGAAATGAGTGTTTTTGACTTTTAAAAGATGTTTGTAATACTGAACACATCCATTTAAAACTCCATACAACTTACAATAAATCATACATTAAATGTTAAAGTTGACGGCCACACTCAAAAACTTCCATTAGCACTTAATCAGCGATACATTATAAATCCATTTAACAAGTTTGGTCTGAAATACTCCACTTGACGCTTAAATTTATTTATTTTATCTAAGCTAATTAAATCCTCTGCGTGTGGCCGTTGGTGGTTCTGGAGAATTACGAGTATTGCATTGTATCTTTAATTATTATACTGTAAATACTAACATGTAGCATATGGATTTATTTAAGCAAATTTATAAATATTGTTATAGGAGTGATATTTGCCTTTTCTAACGATAATATTGCAATGGAGATTGTTTCTCTGTTCAGCGACTACTAATGATCTTGTGTTCAGCTATAATGAAAGGGTTCAGTAATGGTGACGGATAGAAGTGGCATATATTCATAAAATGTCATGGTGTGGATTGTTACACTTATCTTTTTCCCTTTCCTACAATGGCTGTTCTGCGTGTATGCAGTCTTACATTATTCATATCCGTTATATGAAAAAAACTCATTTTTATTAAGTAGCTGCTTAATCTAGCATAAAACATTATTATTTTTAGCTTTTCTTTCATTACATGTAAAATATACGTAAGTTTAACAAGAAAATTGTTCAAGTTTGTACTAATTTTGTTCTGAAAGCGCCATAAAATCTATTATGTTAATGTTACTCTGATTAGGAACATATGTTTTACTCTGTATTTACTTGAATTTGAAGAGGTCAATTTAAATTTAGTTATGAATCGGTGAATTTTGTAATAGACAGTTTTGTTTCGATTCTGTGCAAAATTTAGTTATTGGAATCTCTTAATTTGCTAATCACTTGTTGACCCAGCACATGTACATAAATTTGTGTAGTACGTAGGTTTGTTATATGTATGAAAGCTGCCATAATGCATTTATCGTTTCCGGTCGGATTATGATGTTTGACAATTTTCGAGACAATAAATTGTTTAACCAGTGTAAGGTCTTTGTTAATAAGATTGCAGAGTTGGATTGAAATTAGTTTAGACATTTGTAAACTTATATATATATTATAATATTGTCTGACGAATTATTATTTCACACATTACAAAATTTATTAATAATACAAAATGTATGAAATGTTACTTCTAACCCCTTATTATCTGTGTTCTTATTAACAAAGTCTTGTATGTAAATTGTATATTTTCAGTGGTACAACGATTTCCATGGTTTTTGTGTTCACATTATGTATATATTATGAGTAAGGAGTTGTATATTGTATACACCAAGTTATGCGTCAGTTTAACAGAGAATAAAATATTTGTCTATTATTCATTGGTTTTATTTTTAATCAAGACTCACTCGGTTCTTAGTCTGACTAAACATGCTAATTTTTAAATATAAAAATTTAGCTTCCATATGTTGGCGTCCACAAAACTTAAAACTAGCCAATGGATTGACTTGATATTTGTTTCCTAATATAGCTATAAAAAAAGAGAGCCGGGTTCAGCTAGTGTAATATAGACTTCTTTAATTTAGATGTAACTGATTCCCTTTTTACAATAGATATAAACAGGTGTTAAAAAAATGTTCTCTACATTAAAAAAAAACACAAAGTTTGTTAAAAACATTTAATCATAAATTAATATATAAAAGAATACAAGACGTTATTATAACTTAATCTAAGAAATGCAGCAATTGGTACGTTCATATTTTCCGGACGTAATATTAAAACAGCAGGCCTCGGCTTATATTTTAGGTTATATTTAAAAAAATATATATTAAATTCCTTAATTTCTGCACTTCAATAAAACGTCAAAGAGATTGACGGTCCACTGTGCAAGCCTAGGCTCTTGAAGATATATGTATATAGAAATTAAAATGAGCGTGAGTGTTTTTCTTTGCTATGCTAATACTCTTCAGTCGTGGTGCTCATCCTGGGCCAGCTCCTCCATGTCCTCCTGATCGAATTCGGTGTCGTCTTCAGCTGTGGCCTCCTGGTACTGCTGGTACTCTGATACCAGGTCGTTGACGTTGCTCTCAGCCTCGTTGAACTCCATCTCGTCCATGCCCTCGCCGGTGTACCAATGCAAGAAGGCCTTGCGCCTGAACATGGCGGTGAACTGCTCGGAGATGCGCTTGAACAGCTCCTGGATGGCGGTGGTGTTGCCGATGAAGGTGGACGACATCTTCAGGCCCTTGGGCGGGATGTCGCAGACGGCGGTCTTCACGTTGTTGGGGATCCACTCGACGAAGAAGCTGCTGTTCTTGTTCTGGATTGAGAGCATCTGCTCGTCGACCTCCTTCATGGACATGCGGCCGCGGAAGATGGCCGCCACGGTGAGGTAGCGTCCGTGGCGCGGGTCGCAAGCGGCCATCATGTTCTTGGCGTCGAACATCTGCTGGGTGAGTTCTGGCACGGTGAGGGCGCGGTACTGCTGGCTGCCGCGCGACGTCAACGGCGCGAATCCGGGCATGAAGAAGTGGAGCCGCGGGAATGGGACCATGTTCACGGCCAGCTTGCGGAGGTCCGCATTCAGCTGACCTGGGAACCTGAGGCAGGTGGTGACGCCTGACATGGTGAGCGACACGAGGTGGTTGAGGTCGCCGTACGTGGGGTTCGGCACCTTGAGAGTCCTGTAGCAGATGTCGTATAGGGCCTCGTTGTCGATGCAGTAGGTCTCGTCGGTGTTCTCCACCAGCTGATGAATGGAGAGCACCGCGTTGTACGGCTCCACCACAGTGTCAGACACCTTGGGCGAGGGCACGACCGAGTACGTGTTCATGATCCTGTCGGGGTACTCCTCCCTGATCTTGGAGATGAGCAGGGTGCCCATTCCGGAGCCGGTGCCGCCGCCCAGCGAGTGCGTGAGCTGGAAGCCCTGCAGGCAGTCGCAGTTCTCGCACTCCTTGCGCACCACGTCGAGTACAGCATCTACGAGCTCCGCTCCCTCGGTGTAGTGGCCCTTGGCCCAGTTGTTGCCGGCGCCCGACTGACCGAAGACGAAGTTGTCCGGGCGGAACAGCTGCCCGTAGCCGCCCGAACGCACGGCGTCCATCGTACCCGGCTCGAGGTCGAGCAGGATTGCCCTGGGCACGTACTTCCCTCCGTTCTCCTTGGTCGCAACTGTTGAAGAGAGAGGAACTTGTAGAGAAGAGTGTCGGAACTCGGTAGCATAGAACTGTTAATGCAGGTTTGATGACTCCGTAAGTGTCTATACTCGAGGGGCTATCGTAGAATTTAGTTTGGCAAAGAGTTCGTAGAATTTAGTTTGGCAAAGAGTTGTTACCGCAGGTGTGAAGGGAGAAAACCCTGTCAAGGAACTGCTAAGTGTTGGTACTAAAAGGACTAGCATAGAACTGTTTAAATAAAAGAAAGAATATCATGGAATATATTCAATGGAATTTTTGTTTTGTTACCGCAGGTGTGAAGGGAGAAAACCCTGTCAAGGAACTGCTAAGTGTTGGTACTAAAAGGACTAGCATAGAACTGTTAATGCAGGTTTGATGACTCCGTAAGTGTCTAGGCTAATGTCTTTACGCAGGTGTGACCTGTCAAGTCTAAAAGGACTAGATACTGTTTAAATAAAAGAAAGAATATCATGGAATATATTCAATGGAATTTTCTGTTTGTGCACACATAAATCGGAAAGTCCGATACGATGCTCGGAATGCCGATGCTTTTGTTTGTTCGAATTTATCTTGAACAGCTCACAATTTCCGTATTGTTCATGTTTTTCACGTCACCATTTATTTTATCGATGTAACATCATCCATAAAAGAAGTTTTCATTCGCATAAAACGTTACTAAATTGTGATAGCAAACACCGACCAACGGGTAATGACTTCGTCGTCTCTTTATCATCGTCGTATTATTACTGCATTAATTGGAGCACAAATTATAACTCCCATGAGAGGATCCTCACAGAATCCGTTTTGAAATCCGTTTGTTTTTTTTAATTTTTTTTTTTATATGTAAAGTTGCGTTGTCAAGCGAGCAGACGGTTCACCTGATGTTAAGTGAATGGACTTCTGTTACATCCGAGGGTTGCAGATGCGTTGGCAACCTTTTGAAAATTGGGCTCCGGCCACCTCACTCACCAGACAAAACGCGAAAGCATTATACTTCCACTTTCCGCCGGTCTTCTGTAAGGTTCTGGTACTTACCCGGACGAGCCTGCCCATTCGTGCAACAGCCGAGACTGCTACGTGGCCCTACCACCATTAAAATGATGAATGTCGGATAAATGATCGCTGTTTATTACACTGAATTGTTAATTCAATTTTCTTATATTCGTTTCTCGGTTAATAAGACTACAGAGCTCGCAAGCCGCCTAAAAGAAAATGGATAACATTTCAAAATAGTATAAAAAAATATAAGCAATTCTAACCTGTTTAGTTATTTTTGATATTGAAAATCCATATCTAACGTCAGCGAATTAAATCTGTCGAAGACTACGGAAGTATGACAAATACTTTCACGTTTCGTCTGGTGAGTGAGGTAGCCGGAGCCCAATTTTCAAAAGCTTGTCGACGCATCTGTAACCCTCGGGTGTGGCAGATGTCCATGGGCGGCGGTATTCACTTAACATCAGGTGAACCGTCTGCTCATTTGACATCTTTTCGCATAAAAAAAAGTCAATAAGTTTATTTCCTGGTAAAATTCTAAAATCCTTCGCTCTTTTAAAACGTATCGTTGCAACCAAACGTTTAACAAATTAACCAATTATTGTTAAAGTATGCTTAGAGAATATAAATTAACTGTTGATAAAAAGCGGGATAGACGGAATAATAAGCAGTTCTGATCCCCAACACAGTATTGTATGTGGTGAAATGGAATTTTATAGCTCATCGTATGCAAATTGCATCCTAAATGCATCATTGTATATTGTTTAAGGCGTGGAATCTTAAATATTGTCATTTGGGATGCCTTGTGATAGGCATCAAAATTTATTCATTTGTAAGTGCGTCGTTATTACTGAGCCGAGTGGATTTAACGTTTACGATAAGGACATGAATTTCCATAATTGGATACAAGAAGAGAGATACGTCTTTATTCTTACACGGGTATTTTACAATTGGGCGAAAATTGAGAGTGAAATCAAACAAGTCCCGTCACTACCACAGTAATAAGTTCGGCGTTACGCCGCTATAATAGAAAATATTCTGTTGTCTATAATAGAAAATACTAAAAAAACAGAATAAAAACATATTAAATGGGGCCCCCATACAACAAACATGATTATTTGCCGTTTTTTTACTTAACGGTAATGAGCCCTTCGTGCGCGAATGCGACTTATGGTTTTTAAAAGTTTTTTAAACGGCCGGTTTTTATAAGTAAACAACACCTCTGTACCCCAGGGATGGCAGAGGTCCATGGCGGTAATCACTTATCAAGGGAACCGTATGCTCGCTTGCTTCGCATTAAAAGAAACAGGGCAGCCATTTTCAGGGTACAGTCAGCCTCTCGTGACGTGTGCGTGCCAATTGCACCGGCACAGCACTATATAGTAGATCAGGCCTTAAAAGGCCATAGTCGCGAAAGATTGAGTCCACGTGTTCCCGTGGCCGATGCTACACAGACAGGTGCAACGTGGATTTTTAGTGGGTACCCGTCTCCGGGACTCCACATACCCCCGCCACACGCCCGATCCAGTGGCAGAGGTCCAGAAAGGAGTTTTCCGACGGGAAGAAAACTCTAACGTTGCTTCACGGATGGCCTTCGCGCCTTAAAGCCTCGCCGCTCGGGCGCGGTCAACGGCCCACTACGCTCCGCCGGCTGCCTATACTGTTACTTCGCGGTCATTATGCACAATTTCACCGTCCGCCTCGCCGTCCGTTTCGCCGTCGGCGGGTAACAGAGCTAAGTAACGCGAGCGAAGCCAAGCGGTGTCGGTTGCAAGCCGACGAGGCAACACGCGGAAACTGCGGCTTAGCTGCGTTGTACTGTGGCGGGGCCACGTTTCGAGACAGTTCACTGTTGCAAGTTGCAACCGTGGTGGGGCCACGCAACGCACACGAATGGGCATGTCCGTCCGGGGAAGTTGGACCTCTCAGGAGACCGGTGTGAATTCGAAGTAGTTTTGTGGAATTGGTACTGCGTTTCGTCTGGTGAGGCAGCCAGGGGCCACTTTATTTAAAGGTGGCGACGCATTCGCAGTTGCAAAAGTCGATGGGCGGCGGTCAGGTGAACCGCCAGCTCGGTTGCCATAATCTTACATTAAAAAAAAACTTAAAACGCTTTGTCGTGCGCCGTTCAGTGACACGCGCGTTAGTTGGTGCAGTGTGAATGTAACTACAAGCTTATCGCCTGGTCAAACACAATGAAGCTACAGCCTATATGTCTTCCACTGCTGGGCAAAGACCTAGGGTAGACTGTGCTTAACACCCTCTACATACCTAGATGTAGAGGGTGTTAAGCACAGTCTACCGAACGATCCCACTGCGGATTGGACTCGAATATCATCGAAATATTTTTTTTGTTATTATTTCGAAAATATGCAGATTTCTTGCACATTTTTTTAATGCTGAGCACGTGATAAGTCAGCACATAAAATTGTAATTAACATATTTATTGGTGCCGGCAGCGAATTGAACACAGGCTGCTCTAGTATATTGAATTAATATAGTATTTTTTAACTTTTTACGTCCAATTTTTTGATAGCTGTAGTTTTTTACTTTTTTGCTTTTGACGTTGTCAGTTCTATTACCAATTTCTTTCTGTGTTGCTTGATTTTCTGTTTTTATAAAAAAATGCTCATTCATCAACTTGTATCATCATTTTATCATTTGAGATTAATTTGGTTTGTTCATTTCATTGTCTTTTACATTAAAATGAATAAATGCTCTCGTCACGAACTTTACATGATACCGTTGTTTCTGGTTCTACGAGATGTATTTTATTTCGAAGGAATTGCAACTGATATGCTTCTCCCGGTATTTCCGGACGCGGACACACAACACCAGATATTTTTCAGGCACGTTCCCGACTAGAGGATGTGGTAACCGTTACCTCACTAAACGGACGAAACGCAAAAGCATAAGAACTACTCCACGCTAGCCTTTAGTGACGTTCTGCAGCCGACTGACTATTCGAGCAAAGGTTGCTATGTAAGCTGTTGTTGTTACAGTATATAAAACTGGGTCGAACCCAAGACTTCAGATTAGACTGCGATACTGGTTAACCAGCCGATAATCACACGTCATGTTAGACCGGCCCATGTACGCTTAAAACGCCCCAGCAATACGCTAAAACTCTTGTTGCAGGGCGAATTTTTCCTGTTAAAGTTAACGACGGCATACAAGGTTGGCTTGAATTGGTCGAATTGTTGAGTTGAATTGGTTAGGGGGGTCAACGGCCCCCTAACTGCTTAAGAGGCCCGGCAGATCGTCTTAATTATAACGGCTCTGGCAATTGTTGGATTCGGAGGTCGGAGGTCACTAATGTGTCTCGAATGAAAATCTAGTATGTACCTCAAAATTCCTTATATATAATATTATAAAGGCGAAAGTTTGTATGTATGGATGGATGTTTGTTACTCTTTCACGCAAATACTACTGAATGGATTTTAATGAAACTTTACAATAATATAGCTTATACATCAGAATAAGACATAAGGCTATAATTTATATACATATTTTATGTATATCTTTATATTTTATGTCTTTCTGTCTGAATGTTACGCCTTAAGACACAATACGCAGACATAGCTGCGGGCAGCAGCTAGTGATAAGGTATAAAGTTATAACATGTACAGAACCTTATTCATATGATGCACACTATTTTTAAATACATAAATATCAATTTGAAACAATAACGGAAATAGTCTTGATAACAGCTCAATAGTGTATTGTTCATATCTAGGAACAGATTATAATTGGAGAGAGTAGCAAAGCAGAAGATTAGGAGATCGCAATCGGCATTAGTTATTAGTCCGTTTATCTACTGATAAGACAGTTAGTAACCGGCTGGTCAAGTAATCAGGTTAAGTTGTAACTATTGTAACATTTTTAGTTGGTTACTAGATAAAACAACCTCATTCTGTGAAACTTTTCCCAGGATAGTCTGTAATATCGCCATCATTTCAGCCTGTTTTCGTCCACCGATGTACATAGGCCCTACAAACTGATTCGAATCCCCACCCAGAGATGCATCCATCCACTTCCCGCACGTTTGCGAAATAATCACGTTTATAACATTCGTTCAAAGGGTAACCATTCTAGTTGCTGGAAGTCCTTTTTTTGCCCGAGTAGACGGGCTGGTCGGACGTTCGGTATACCCACCAGAGGCCTCATTGTAGTAGACGGATATCCGCTCGAGCTGCAAGTCGCTGGTGCCGCGGTAGACGCCGGTTGGGTCGATGCCGTGCTCCTCCGATATTATCTCCCAGAACTGCGGACAAACACAAGATGGTTAAAAGAATCTAAAGAAAGAAGGAAGTTTCGGTCTACTCTCCTGTCTTATCCCTAACCGGATATCTAATGGTGCTATCTACAACTCGATAATAGGTAAGAATTGACTACAATTGTAAAGTAACAGCCTATGTATGTCTAAAATGACAGCCTATGTAGCACTATACTATACCTTTCTATAAATCAAATACAGTAGGATAGGATAGCATTTATTTTCAGCAATATGGTATACATAATTATGTGAGTGTATAATATGGTATTAGAACAGATTCAAAGTCAAAATTTGTTTGTTCATTAGAGGCTTTTAAGCTCTTATTGAACGTCAAATAATCATCAAAATCGGTTCCCACAATTGAAAGTTCTGAGGTAACGAACATAAATAATTACTTTAAAAAACTTTTAAGTTAAACGGTTTTATTTTATGTTTTTTTTTTTGTTAATATTGTAATCATAAATTAACAATTGTCATCTAAATTAAATGTGTGTACCAAATTTCAGATCAATCTGACAACGGCAAGGTGCTTAAATTTCAATTTCTAATTTTGACCCAAATAAATAAACAAACAAATTCCGTACGGGTCGAGCTAAATAAAACCGTTTAAAAACTACCACCGGTTCACTAAACTAGACTGACCAGAGAAGAACCGGCAAGAAACTCTGCAGTCTTGTTGTCTTTTTTCAATATATACAAAATTATTTAGTTATAAAATCAGCAGCAGCCACGGGACTTGCAAGTGCAGAGCAAGTCACTTCCACACATATTCTTCGACATTATATTAGGTCCTATCCATTAGGGTAGCGTTTATTAAATAAAAATAATTAATAAATTATTTAATTTTCATTCAAAAAGTTTATTTATTCAAAAACTTTAGCAAATAAATTGATGGTAATCAACTATCCAAAATTTAAAGCAATACAAAAATAAAACTTAACACAGGTGAGCTCCTCGTTGTGAAGCCTTCGAAATATCTGTTCGTACACACTGAGTGTTAATTAAACAAGTAGTGGGTGGAGTATCGCCGGAAACAGTTACGAGGAGGGCAACCCTCATTAGCGGTAAGGGAACGCGCGGTTGATGGGGCTGGCCCGTGCATTAACCCCGCAATTAAATAAAAAAAAAGAGGTACACTCATGACACACTGATGGTCGTTAAATACGAGGAAATGTGACTGTTGGCTAGCCAGGTTTTCTATTACTTCACGGCCTTTAATTTTCGCAGCATAAGTAACATATAGTCTACTGCCGTTTCCGATGCCGTCCTGTCACATAGGCGAGTAGCATCACTAAGAGCATCAGTCAAGAAGTTAGGCTCTAAAACCCGACAAATCAAAGAATAACCCTTCACAAGTTTCCCACAGCTGGGAAAATGCATCCTCTGCACTGCGTTTCCTAAAATCGAGGTAAATCACAAATAAAATTCAAAATTTTCGGCCCCGCTGATTTCGCACCCACGTCTTCTGGGTGTGTCGTCGAAAAATCAATCAAACTCACATTTAAATTCACCCTCGATTACAGTTTAGCACTGAAATAAATAAAAGTGATAATCCTAAGCGCAATGTCCAAGCCTAAGTAATGTCCTTACCAAAAGGCCCCCAAATGTTACGGAACAAATGACACTAATAAAACACTTCTACGCGGGCGTGACTTTAGCTGTGGAATGAAAAATTAATGCAGCCCGCGCTCTGACGCTATTCCGTTTGTAAAGGGAACGTAATGACGTGCATACCTCGTTTATAAGGAAGGCTGACTCATATAATGCCGTGTTGTATGTACTTATTGTTTACTTAATTTATACAGTTGTCGCTTCTTGTGCGTAGCATATCCTAGTTTTGAGAACTGATAAGCAATTACGTTCTTAAACTGCGATACGGTAGGCAGAACTGCAACAAGTTAGGAGGACTGCATAAACTTTATCTCGTAAATAATTTTTCATTTGCCGAGATAAACACATATAACAAATCATCAATTCGGATCAGATCAGTGTCAATTCAGTCAAATCATCAATCGGAGTCATCAATTATAAGACTCAAATTTAAATAAATAGTAACTTCCGGACATAATTTTATTCATAGTTATCCAGAAACTGATCTAGCCCTGTCCTATGGGCAGTAGGTAGCTGATGAATGTACTTAAACATACTTCCCCAGTGCAAATAAGTACATATTACAGAATATATTAACATCCAGAACAAAAAAATGTTTATAACCAAATATTCTTCCAGACGTGGGAATCAAACCTGCACCTTACATCTACGAGATAAGTTCTTTAAGCACTACCCAATGCGATCGAGGTGTTGGTAAGTCCGTCGCAGACATCCATTTATATGTAACTAGCGATCCGCCCCGGCTTCGCACGGGTGCAATGTATTATACATATAAAACTTCCTCTTGAATCACTCTATCAAGTAAAAGAAACCGCATCAAGATCCGTTGCGTAGTTTTAAGGATCTAAGCATATAGAGACAGACAGACATCGGGACGACTTTCTTTTATACTATGTAGTGATAGAATAGAAATTCCAACGGATAAAGAAGCAACTCCGTTTAATACTTATGCTAGTAACTCACTTTCCGTAGGTAATGCAACGGCTCGTATCTACAAGTCGTTATGTAAGTTAGGAAGCTATGTAACTAACGGCCGTTCGTTGAATATAGGAACCGGCCATTAGTCGGAAAGTTTAGAATTGCGTATTCCTAATATTTCTGCGCAAGGCCACGGGTTACGGAGGTGACAAGTTGGTCGCTAGACGCGACCCGTCGAAACTTGTCCGTGGAGATAAACGTTATCTCGGACGAAGTTTCTCGGCGTATTACAAGACCATGCCAGATTTATCTTTACGTTATTCTCTTTCAGAACAAGTTACCATGTAGGAGTATCGTTGCATACTGAACCCGAAAACATGCCGTTCCCTCGTGTACTGATGACTACTCATCTATAAGGTGTCGAAGCTGGGTATTAACACGACAAAACAGCTTGACAAAAAGACGTGGTATCCGTCAAGAACTAGTCAATCGTGAGATTCAGCTCACACAATCGGTGAAGAGTTTCAGATGCTACTTTTACTGCCCTTGTTAGTCCGCTGATGGAAAACATCGTGCTAGATATGCCCTAATACTCTCAGTCCAAATGAGGCCTTTGCCCAGCAGTGGGACATGTAGCTACTTTTTATTTTTATTAAATAAAAAGTTGCCTTTACTTAAGAATAACATTATCCTGTGTTGTAAGGAAGTTTTACAAACATATTTAACATACACGTTGACAAACACCCAGATGCAAAACATCTGTGGGTCACACAAATAGTTGCTGCATTACTTTTACTCAAGGCAAATAATATAGTAATAAAGTAGAAGACAAATATGTTCATCGCCTTTCTTCCTCATCACTGTACCGTCCTCACTTGCTGTGAGATCACGAGTGGTTGAATGTTCTAATATTCTGTACAGAGGAGCCTTTCCCCAGTGGGAAATATACATACGGATAAAGATACTGAACGTGGTTTTGACCGTCCCAAATTGAGAAGGCAGACGAGGAAGGTAAACCATCCTTAACCGCTGTAGTCGTCGCCATATTAGCCCCCATTGTCATCGACGTAAATAGCACGAAACACACAGTAGGTACTCATGTTCCTTTGTTTTCTTAAATGGTGATTTAGCCCGACATAACCAAATTAATGTCGATCGCGTGACATAATCTAAGGGAATAGAGGCACCATACGGTTCGGAACAAAAAAGCACAGGATAGATTTGTTAGCTCATAATTTAAAATTATATTTAAAATTATATGCGCGCGTAAGTTGTAATTATTTAGGAAAATAACTGTTAATTTTATCCCCTGTGCTACTGGTCTTTGTTTGCGAAAAAGTCATGCAATTGATAACGGTTTAATTTAATAACTTTGATTATTTATTGCGAGTTAGGTGATAACCGGCGCACATGGAAATTTGCAACACCCGTTGGGTTGCAGATGCGTTGCCACCTTACTTTGAGTGCTGAATTATTACGCGGCAGGAAAACATCGTGAGGAAACCAGCATAGTTTCGAATTAAATAAAAAACTATTTTCGAACATTTGTAGTCCGTCAATCCGCAGTGCCTATGCTCCACCACGCGGCCCCACTGCGTCATACCCGACCATTAGGGCATACCCTAATACCCTCTGGACAGAGGAGGCCTCTGCCCTATAGTGTGAAATATACAAGCTATTACTTTACTTTCCTTTTACCCCAAAAGTCTTTTACCCGAGTTTCCTCGCGATACCACAAAGAACCAACATTACCGTATGGCCACACTAATAACGAAACGATATACCTTTTACCACGAAAACATCCATACATAAACAACGAACCAACGCCAGCCTAATTGCTCGAAACGAGGTCGGAAACTACCTGGCAATTAACACGAAATATTCAACGTTTATACATCAACTGTGTATACGCTAACAGTTCCAAATTGTTGAACGTTACATGTAGAATCTATGTGGTGTTTCACTCAGAGCACATTGCCTATATATCCTACTGCTGGCCAAATGTCTCCTGTGTACAGAGAGTAGGGTAAAGCCCACCACGCGACCCCACTGCGAATTGGCGGACTTCACATATCTTTTTTGATTTTATTTCGAAAATATGCAGGTTTCCTCGCGATGTTTTCCTTCGCCGCTGAGCACGTGATAAGTAAGCACTTAAAATTAACAATGTCTTCGGTGGCGGCACCAGGGACTGACATAATTCCGTCGACACAGGTCCATTTTTATTGACAAAAAACAAAACAGACCTCAAATGTCTCGCTCTGTATTCATTTTATAATTGATTTTCAGGAGTTCCCAAAGTATCTCCGGAGCCCAAGATCCAATGCCAATGAAATTAATATGGGACCACATGGGTAGCGCCAGCTTTAAAATAAAAAAAGAATCATTGAAATCAGTTCAAAAGTGCTGAGGTGACAAACATAAAAAAGAATACAATCGAATTGAGAACCTCCACCTTTTTTGCAGTCGGTTAAAAAAACTTTTACACGCCGATAAGAGGCTCGGTTGGCGCTCGCGAGATGAAATCTCGACGACGAAACTCACTTACGACTCGTCGCAGAAGTTTAAGCCGATCGTTGATTCAATCAGATCCAATTAAAAGGCACTTGTTGTTCGATTGCAGACGCGACCAATTGCTTTACGACATCAGAAAGGAGAAATTTAAGATGAAAATGTAATCGCCTCGAATTGCTGCGTCTGGTACTTCATTATGCATTTTATTGAGTTAACCGAGTTTCCTCGTTTGCAGTCAGCACTTCTAGCGCAGTGGTGCTAAAGTTTTCATTCGAAAATTTGCGAAAAATTCGATCTCAGAGCGGCCCAAAAGATGTACCATCAAAATAGCTGTCTGGGCGTAAATGCGCCAGAGTTTACGAAATAGAGAAGTCACTGCAAAATACGCAAAGACTTTATATTACTAAATTGAACTATTTTTACGGGATTCATCGCGTTTATCTCGTGACAATTGACGCTGTAAAGTTCATTAGATTTCAAAATAAACGCGATGTATCGTAAAAGCGGTTTAATTTATTAAGTTGGTGAAAAGTTTAAAAAAAATAATCCATGAGCAGTAACATAAAATACCCTCTGAACTGGATTATTATGTATTACGACCTTCAACTGCCTGTTACCCTTATGTACAAAGAAATATATGCATTGATTCTTGATATTCTAGTATGTAAAGAAAATTAACTGTAGCTCTGAATCTTCATGAAGACAGTTAGGCGGTTACTAAGAAGCAAAAGCGATGAAACTATACGGATGGTATTTTCCCGGGAATCGATACTAGAGTGAATTACTTGGTACAAAGTACAGCGCCGGGTTGGCGCCGCGTCGTGATTCTAGTGCTGTTCGATGCGACGGAATTCAACGGAACGCGGGAAAACGGTCTTCGATATTTTTAATACTACTAATATTATTAATTATTTCCTTCTAAAACAAAGCCCCTTACTGTAGGATAACATTATACTGTGTTTTAATATCGCTTTACATACATAAATTTCACGTGGAAAAACACCAAGATACGAAAACCTTGTATTAACTGATGTTTTTGCTTTCACAGACGCAGAAAGATACGAAAACAACTATCTGTTGGTCACACAAATAGCTGTCTCGCTTGGGAATCGAACCCACGACCCTGGAAGCCAATACCTCGGCAACTGCGCCACGGAGTCATCAAACTCGATATTACTGCTATCAGATATTACTGCACCAGTAATTACTTGGCGTTTAATCATTCAACGGATTGACGCGACTGGTAAGGGTTACCAGGAAGGGTGGCCCTGGGAAGCCAGTGAAAAGCCCCAAGGGTCGGCATACCTGGAAATTCGCAGTTGTTCGCGACCGATCGATTTCTGAATAGCGCAGAAACGGCTAGACTTGTGTGTTGTATAGTAATAATATTTCATTACAGGCAACAACACGAAATGAAAATAAAAATTAAATGTTTAAATATTCTCACAGCAAATATACATATGTTATCCATACTAATATTATAAATACTAAAGTAACTCTGTCTGTCTGTCTTGATCTCACGGCAAAACTATTGAACCGATTTAAATGAATTTTGATACACAGATAGTTTAGAGCCTGAGAAAGGACATAGGCTATTTCAAACACATACTCATTTTGAATTGGTTAAAACTTTAAAATATATACATATTTTAAAGAAAGATATTTATTTAAGGGCTTCAACGCGAGCGAAGCCACGGGCCAAAAGCTGATCATTAAAAGTGATCTTATATGTTTGTATAAGTTTCTATTGTTGTCTAAACTTACTAAGTACTGAAAATTGAAAGATTTTTGCAGCTTGATCCACTTTACGCCGGTCTTCTGAGAGACGGTGGTATATTTTCGAAATAATAACAAAAATATTCCGAAAATATGTGAAGGCTGCTAACCAGCGGTGGGGTCGCGTGGTGGAAACGCCTTTGCCCAGCAGTGGGAGATATATAGGCTTAGTTACTTTACTTTATCTTGGAAGTATTTTAAATGCCAACAGAACACAAAAGCGCTTTGATAGCGCAGGTAAATTTATAGTCACCTTTAAGAAACTTGTTTAAGAAAACACACAATTTGTAACATTTAGAAATAAATAGGAAGAATTTATGTAACCATTTATTTCGGTTTTCTTTGCCAGGAATTGAAAAAGTCAATATGTCGTTAAATTCTAAACTACCTTTCAATTCGTACGTATTAATTGCATATATACGTAGCAAAGTACATGAGATGTATTTAATAAAAATAAGATAATTTTTGATTCGGACATATGACACAACAATCTGATCTGTGTGATGCAAAGAAAATCCAGTTATATTATCTGATGAATCCGGACCGTGTATTGTAATTAGCGGAGTGCAAAATACCCATAAACGTCAAACAATGAGAGCGTGACAAAGCACAAATAAAAATAATTTGTTATTTAGTTGGTAGGTCTAGTTTTTGCTGTCAACGAATGGACAGTGAATACGTCAAGTTGTCCTTGATGGAACCATTACACTAAAATTGGAATATATGTCTATTATAGTGGAAAGTTCTATTATAGTGATAGTAGAAAGGTATGTAAAGTAAGTGTATAAATAATATATCAACTGTGTTAGAGCCACGCAAATGGATTCACAAATGGACAGGTCCATCCGGGTAAGCACCACGACCTGACGGAAGAGCAGCGTGAAGTAGAAATGTTGAACTTCAGCGTTTCTCGTGAGGTAGCCGAGACCCACTTAATTAAAAGATGGCAACACACCGGTGCTGCAAATTTCAATGGGCGGTGGATATCACTTAACAACAGGTGAACCGCCGGCTCTTTACCACCTTCTCACATAAAAAAGAGCATCCTATAGTCCGGCAAGCGATTGGCAGATTTCATTTTATATCTTCCTAGTATTATTATATGTATTTCTTCTAGATATGCAGGTTTCCTCTCAAAGTTTCGCTGTAATCATGAGCAGGTCCACCAGTACTCAAAATCTTCATTTATGCCGGTGGATTTGAACTCGGTTCGCTCAAATATGAGATAAATCGAGGAACAAAGCTAGCGCCCAGGCACTGAGCTATTACGGCTATAACGAATACAGATTAAATAGGCATGGTATGATGTTGACAGATGTTGCGGTAGGACAAAAACTTTTTAAAAACAGATAATACAAAAAAAACAGCAAATAGACATGAACTGACTTATATTGTAAAACATCAAGGGCTGACATTATCGATATACGACGTAAACAGTGTCTAGTAAAAAACGAGAAACCATTTCAGCGTTAGCAAATGAAGCGTAAAATGCAGAATTTTATACGATGCTAAATAATATTGTCTGCCAGTTATAACAACGTTGCCTAGAAATAAGTTTTCGTCATTTCAAAAAAACTCAAAAACTAACATCCACTGCAGAACATAGGCCGCAGACAAAAAGCGCAATTAAAAAAAATGTATCTAAATAGTCTTCGATTATTGTGTTAACATATCCTAAATAGCCCGTAACGTAAACTAATCTAAGTCCGAAAGAATATTGCATAATCTGCTACTTGACGTTGAATAAAAGTTTTTACCGCCTTTTTTATCGGTCGCTCCGTGGTCAAGGAATCGGCAGCCTTGGGGCATTCAATTTCAAAGCCGTCTGCTAGACCGTATCGTATTCCACTTTCGGACCGCGACAAACGTGGCCGTTGACTTTTAAACGCCGCCATCTTGCCTGCTTCGGTTGGGGGCTTATGGAGCGCCAGTTTTACCGTTCTTCATGATGACAACAGATTTATACAGCAGATGCAACTCTTCGGTGTTTGACACGCGTTTAGGCCGTTCAAACGGTTAAAGATTTAAAGTTATTAAAACTTTCGTGAGACATTATTAACGTAATAATAAGACGGCTGAACTCACGTAAAACAGGTGTATGGACTAGTTTTGGACTCATCTCAGGTCCTTCATCGGTGAGAGTAAGATTAGTTCGCGGTCGCGCCCCGTTTCGCACTGATTTAATTTGAACCTGAGCGAAAACAGCAAAATTTTGTATAATTAAGTAACATTAACAGATATCTTTGGATAGAACTGGAAATGCACAGGATCGTACAAGAGTGCAATGGGAGAGCCCTATGTCCAGCAATGGACTGCGATAAGCTAACATTGATGATGATGAAGAAATATTAATTTGTAAAAAATGTGTGTACTTACATATGCACGTGAGAAGTTATAGGTAGCATAACAAGAGAAAACTAACTAAAAATTTTATCCCCCGTGCCAATACTATTTGTTTGTGAAAAAGACATTAAAGCAATTGATAACGGTTTAAGTAAATAACTTGTAATTATAGTTAAACGTCTAGCAATTGTAATGGGTTGGCATCGTAAAACCGTGAAGTTGGTCAAAGTTGATCATGTTGCTTTTTGGCTGTCGGTGCGCGCGCGCAACGTAAGAATTTTACTCTTATAACTTTTCCAAAATAATTACAAGTACAAAAAAAAACACAAATTTAAACGAATATGGGCTCGTTAAATAATTTAGGGATGATCGCGAATATCCCTTAGAGTTATTCCACAATCAAAATAATGTACTTAAAGCCCGAAGTTCTGTCCTACAACGGACACCGCCGGGTGCCATCTTGGGGACATCGTCCCCGCTGCAATTTGAAAATAGAACGCGCTCTTTTTCTTATTGCATCGGTCGCCGTCGCGCTTCGGCGTGCGCCTGCATTATTTCCGTCCCCGCAGTGTTGCCATATCTGGATACATTACAGGGCGGGAAATTGAGATCTGTTGAGTATTAGTACAATTCCCCACGAGCCAAATGATATTTTAACCGTTAGAGGTAATATATCATTACGAAAATTGTAGCACCTCTCTTTCACAAGTTTTTCTCCCTCGAACTTCTTTTTTTTTTTCGTTTATTTTTTTAATTGTTATTTTAGACACGTTTTAGTCTAATTTTCCGAGTTAGAATGTATGATTTCAGTTCGTAAAAGGTGACAAATAGTAAGACTGCAGCAGACATCGATATCATGAATTTCGTCAGTCTAGCGAGTGTCTACTGTAGGCCTGCAACGTTTCTGTACTGTGATATGCGCGGTCTCTTGAAATGAAACCAATATAGTGAAAGCCTCAATTTTCATTACTAACGAGTGAAGGATTACTTCGTTTTCACGCGAGTTTAAAACGCCCCGCCTGATGAGTTCGGGGCGGCCATGTTTAAAAACATCAGCGGCGAAGTACAGAGCATCGATGCAGCTCGGCTTGTTGAAATAACCCGAGTGGCTCTCTGTAAACATTCTGTCGCCACTTGCCCGCATATAACCGAGCCGAGAAGAAAGCCAAATGGGAAACGACGTGTTCCGCATACAATTGAAATAAACTGCAGAACAAAAACTGAAGAATTCGTGAACTATAGATGCTATTGACTGTTTCTACATTAAGATGGGTGTATAAAGTATTTTAACTATAATTATGAATATGAGATGAAGAGTCGGAGCATGGTTAAGTTCATGTCGAAGTGAATATTTTTAACCTACCTCAAACACTAAGATAGTATAAAATGAATGACATTTACGTTTACCATTTATGAAAGAAAGTAAGGTAAAGTAACAGCCTATATATGTCGCACTGCTGGGCAAAGCCCTCCATGAACAGAAGCATAGTCTACCATGCCACTGTGGACTAGCGGTCTTCGCAAACTCGACAATATGCCGATTTCCTCACGATGTTCTTTACCGCTGAGCACGTGATACTTATTTAGTACTTACAAACATAATTTCATTGGTACCAGCACCAGGATTTGAACTTAGGTTGCTGGAGTATATTGAATTCGGTTCTATATATTGCTTTAAATAATTTTATTTTATTTCTATAACAAACTATCACATTGTATGTAATTTATTCGTATAGTGATATTGAACATGAAAAACTAACTGGTAAATAGTCAGTTTTCAATTCTTTAATTACGGAATTACTTTATCGCCAAAAGATGTTTCTAGAAGTTGTTTGTAATAACTTTATCTCTTCAATTGAATACTTTAACGGTAATACACTGAATTCACCAGAATGATCTCCTTAATGATCAGAATGATCATTAAGCTTTCTTAATGGATGGTTAAACTCTTTAGTTTAACCATCCTTTTGGCAACTCAAATGACATTTGAAAAGCCTTTTGACAGCTGATTAGTTAACATCTACGATGATCAGTGTTTCAGAAACCGGGCGTAAGACTGTACACAAAACTATCACAGTATTTAACCAACATCCAACACATCGGTTCCTCAGAGAACCCTAAAGTTAAACGGAAGCGAAGGCATTTTACACGTAGACGAGTAACATAAGCATGTGTGTCGGTCGATTAAAAATAGCTCACCATTTATGTGAGTCACTGAATGTTACAGTTGACTAAGCGATTTCCGCCTCTCAAATTAAACAAATATTTACTTCTTAGCGAGGGGATAGCCATGTAAAAGGAAATAAACACGACTTACTTCCTCGCATTTGGCCACAGATTGTCATGTCCGTCTGGGATAGTACCATGAACTTCTCCATTTTGGAGTCTGTTGAATATACTGTCATTTGCAAATTTTAAAGCTTCTTTTTATGACGTATTTCCAAGTACTCGGATATTCCTACATAGTTAAATAAAACTAACTAGGCCTAATTTAATGGCTGCGCATCTAACGCGCCGGGAAGTATTTAATCTGTGAATGCTTATCGAATGGACTTTGCTTATACAGCGTGTCGTTACCATCGCGACAATAAAGGAACACACATATAGGGGATAACTTTTTAAAGTTGTATTAAACATTTAAATTCTTTAAACATCAATGTTTACAGAGTTATTAAATTTTCCAAAACAAAGAATTTTAGAACACCCTTACCTATAAAATCGTAATGTAAAGTTCATTTGTAAAGGTCACAAAGCACATGAATGGGTTGAATGAATTTAAAAGAGACAAAACATACTGTTAGAAGGAGAGGCTTGTAAATCGACGCTGTGGCGTAAGTTGTATAGGATGGTACAAATTTTGTTTCTTTTTTACTTAATTAGTTTGTTTGAAAAATATATTTTTTAATTATGGATTTTGTTTAACGTTAATATTATTTATGATTATTGGCATGTAGAGTTAGACGTGTGTTCATTTATTGTCGCGATGGTAACGACACGCTGTATATCACAATCGTAGGCACGTACTTCGCCAGTATAAGATACGATAACTTGAAGCGAAACTTTGTTCAGCTTATTCAGTCTGTTACGATCACCCAACTGGGATACATCGGCAATCTACAGACTAATATTTTCCTTATAACACACACATTGATATCGAGGTAAATCTGGTTACATGTCTTTGTTTTCGATTTTATATATATATTCCAATTATATATATATATATATATATATATATATATATAATCGGAATCTCGGAAACGGCTCCAGCGATTTTCATGAAATTTAGTATGTGCGTAGATTCTGGGGCGATATAGGTTTCATTTTTAGAAAATATCGTTTTATCCCAGTTTTCTGGGAATGAAAAATAATTATAATAGCTCGGTCGGTAATAGGGCGGCCCCGAAACAGAAGGCTGTGGTTCGTGTCACAATCATTTACACACTTATTTTTTTTTACTTTTTTTTCGATTCCAGATCATTGCTTTCTTTATTTGTTATTTTTTGTCGATCCAGATGATTTTGTTATTTTTTCACTTTTTTTTAAAGTTGTTTCTTTTGTGAAAAACACCAGTTCATATTTTCTTATTATTACGTCGGTAAGATCGAAAAATATTATGCATATTTCATTACTCAGTAATTTGTATCTAAATGTAATTTCCAAAATACAAGATTTACCAAAAAAAAAAAAAACCTCCTCCAGGTACTTTGTAATTAAAAAAGCAACGAGCATTATGGTTGTCTATCTCAATCGTTATCTATATTTATACATAAAATAATATAAACTATATATATACAATGGATAATATATTGGATAATATATTGGATAATATATTGGAGGTTGAACATTTTATAATCATTTGTTTCGCGTCGAGGTGAAAGCTTTTTTAAAATATTACATAACAATTATTAAACAAATTTCCTCTTCGAAATTTTAAACCACCTCAAATACTACATGCTCCATTTCAAAATTATACTGACGGAAAACATCGCACTTATTCGTAAAAAAATTCGATAGAACGTTCTAGACGGATCGATACGCGTCCGACAGACGACGTTGAGAGCCCTTAACATTTAGATTCGTTATTTATGCACTGCACTTTCCGACATATGCTCTGTACAGTTTATTTTTTTTTAGTATTTATTTTTTATGTAATATTTTTTCGAGCGGCCGGCTTACGTGATCTTCTGTGATGCCGAAAATCACACGATATCAATATTATCACGTTCGAGTTTAAATAAGTTAATATTAAAAACTTATAAGCATTAGCTATTAGTCAACGTTAAAGGAGTTTAGCTTTAGGTTCTAAAAGTATTACATATATTTTTAAATCTCTCAGACAAAAGGACTTGATCCTTATTCGAGTAAATAACTTAGTCCCTCGGGTAGGCGTCCCTCGGGGTCTCTTGCTTGCACCGATAGTAATAACAATGTCTTCACTTTAAAATATTTCTCTGGCGTTATACAGATGTGTTGCACTTGGACAAACATACAAACGAGGCCTTGGGATTACTCGTTCCGATAGGGAATCAAATCCATTTGGTACGCAGACTTCCTGAATGAATGACCAATTAATTTAATTCGTTTACGTACAGTTCACCAAACCACAAGTACTGTAACACACTCTAGCCATTTAGGGTCGCAAAATGGCGGCTTGTTTATATTAAAAATATATAAATAGGAAGCATCTAGCCTAATGGTAACTGATTATCTTCTATGAAAATCCTAGTATGTCAGATGAGTCATTGAGACGGCCGGTGATTCTAAAGATACGTCAGTCACCAAACGAACGGCATAGCTATGGATACTTTACTCTGGTCTTTTGTAGTTATAGTCCACTTTATATAAATGGGAGCCGTGTAGGTACTACAATTTGTCATTAGCATAACGGTGATCCCCAGAACTATGCCTTCATACTATTTTACCTACATCTATAATTAAGTATGTCATAATAAATACCTTCAGTTCCAACAATAGAATATTTGCTATAGTAACCAGATATTTCACGTCGGGAACTTTTTGCTATAAATATTATCTGGCGGTAGGCAAAAACTCGGCAGGACTATTATTGCCGAGAGGTTAACGACTTGCACGAGATTGTTCTAGAGCAGTGTCCAGGATTAGACGAAGAATTGGGACTTTTTCCTCCTCCAGTAAACTGGTAGGAAACATTTTTAATATAATGCAATATCGATACATCAATTCACTATTTACAAGATTAAATCTATGTACATATTATCTAATAAACCTCATCCACGCGGCATGGTGCCAAGAACGCTAGCTGCATTTCCTCAATAAATAGTTATGCTTAACCTTTGAGCGAGAAAAGAACCAGCTCTCTTGTCACCAGCCGCGGCGTTAAGCCTAGGACATAAACTTTTAAAAAATTGATGTGCGGGGACCCCACGGACCTAAAGTTTCAACTTCTGACAAAGTTTCTGACGTTAATGTAGCAACCAATGACTAAAATACTTGTTGGTTTAAGCGTATAACGTTGGAAAATGGATGGATGAGATTTCAATTTATAGAATCCAAAATAACTAAAACATATCCTTTGATTAGATTCTTCCGATTTTCATGATACCAGAATTTGTTTTATGATAGGGAAACGGCTGACACTGCGTCAGGTTTGCGTTTGGGTAACTTGTGCAACAAAACTTTTACTATCAAAATCCAATATTTACTTGGAATTGCGTTTTCGAAATAATTTTAGATTGATGCATCCCGCTCCTCAAAATACACATGGCTACCTCACAGTCAGACATATTACATTTAAAAGTAATTATGACGCTGGTAATAAAGTGTCGCTGCATACAACGTAAAACCGATACTAATGCATTTTTAATTCGTCACAGATAACTTGGCTTGGATTTTACCTGTTGGTTCGATCATTAGCCAAGACTTGTACTAAAATTTATTTGAGTCATGTTATATACTAACTTACGATGGTAACGCAAACAATTTTTTTAATATCTGCTTTGATTCTGGCCATATTATTTTTTCGATTACACTACACGGTTTCTTTTTATATATCTGAGCAATTTTTGTACTTACATGAGATGATATATCGAACACAATAAAATAAAAAACTACATTAGGTTACCGAAATATCTCTTACTTATCTGTACATAATACTTTATTAGTTAA